TTTCCAAAGACTAATTGGAACCCCTTACGTGCTGCTGGTATATATGTAAATGATTGCATGCGTGTGTGTGTGTGCGGATGTAAATGTATGCATATATGTATGTTTGTAAAGTGTGTATATATATATATATATGTATGTATGTGTGTGTGCCCGTGTGCAAATATACATCTATGCATATGTATACATATATATATATATATATTATATATGTATACATATATGCAAATATGTTTGTATATATGTAAATATGCATATATGTATACACAGTATGTATACAATATGTATATAATTATATATTTATATAAAAGAATAGGTTTCGTTTTCCTGAGGACGGTTTCAAAAGGTCTCGAATTTCTTTAAGTATTCCCTTCTCTGAGGATTGCGGCCCAGAAGATCTGAAAGAATCTCAACGGGCAGGGCATGTTACAACTTTCGTGAGTCCAACCATGAGGAGACTATCATTGAACCCTCAACTGGTTGGTGGTTGACCTACCCCTCTGAAAAACATGAAAGTCAGATTGGATCATCATCCCAACTATTGGGCAAAATAAATGTCATGTTCCAAACCACCAACCAGTGGTTATATAACCCACATAGCCATGAAACATCACCACTTTTTCATAGGTAAATCAACTATAAAAAATGGAGGTGTCCTAAAATGGTCAATCCGGGTCCATCAAAATTCCCATGTCCAATTTTTTTTTTGTCCAATCCGATCATCTTCTTCCAGAGTTCCACGAGTTCCACGATTCCGAAGACATCCCCATGTCGCAGCTGGGATGCTGAAGGCTTGAGGTGCCAGCCCACCTCCAGGTGATCACTTCAAGGATCCTCCTACTAAGGAAACCAACATACATAGACTAACAACTACCCTCTGGTTATGTCAAAATAGCTATTGAAAATGGCCATTTATAGTGGATTTTCCCATTAAAAATTGTGATTTTCCATAGTTTTTTGTATGTTTACCAGAGGGTAAATAGAAATAATCTGAAACTACCGGCATCCGGTCAAAATATGCCAAAGTCACATGGCATCATGCAATGTATAGCGGTGTCAGTTTTTTTTTCCCAGTGAGCATGTGAACTGCTTTCGTGCATCCCAAAAGCAGCTCCTAGCCCCATCTCCCCCTGCAACATCCCAACATCCAACATATCCTAACCAGCCTTGTCGCTGTGTCCTTCCATGACGCAGACTAGCGGCTTGCGATACTTCGGATGGTCCAATTCACTCCAAAACAACAAACAATCACCAAGAGAAAGGAGGTTTTGCCCAGCAAAAGATCAAAATTTTGAGACCAATTTTCTCACTTCTTCTGGCGCCGCCCTTTTGCCGCTGAAGCCAAGTTTGTCGAACCGAAGCGGAACCCGTCAACATAATGACATGTCATGACCAGCCAAAGGTTTCAGAAAGTGAGTGCTGGGAAGGTCAACCCTGACTAATAAGCCCCGACTATTGATTGGCGGTTACAGTAGCCCCAGGTTTTTTGATGAATCACTATCAAAAGTATATCAAAAGTACTCAAAATTGGTACCCCATAATTATGTACCCCCGGATTTATGAACTGGGAGTTTGTCAATTCGGGGTTAACATGAGCCTTTTCACTGGAACAAACAACCACTGATCATCCTTGAGAACAGCCATGAACATCCGCCAGTTCAGATTATTCGTATCTTTGAACGAAATCTTGCAAATCAATGTGACATCTCACAAGGATCATCATCCCCGTTATAAATGGAGCGAAACATCACGGACATAGCGGACATAAAATCAGCAAAAGTCGTCACGCGCATCACGTCACCAACAGATCGGATCAGGAGCTTTTCCGCCACGTCACGGTCCAACTTCAAATGCCCCCCGAGGTGAGGAAGCCAATTGAGGATTGGGACGAGCGCATCGGTATCGGTTTTGTTTCCCCCTAGTGGATGGAGAAAGAACATGTGTAGTATAGAATATATATATTATATATATGTGTGTGTGTGTGATGTGTGTCTATATCTCTAGAAATACAAGTCCTGACTATTCCTGACTCCATCTACCAACCACTTAATTTCACGATTTTCCTGATTTCATGGCATTTCACGGTGAACCCCGCTGTGAATCAGTGTAATTCATGTGATGGTGGTTGTGTAAAACGATAGAAACCTCCATGGGGATTTAGGCATTTACCTTCATTCACCGCTCTATCTTTGGCGGTTCTGTTTCTTTTCTATATGTGGGAGTTTCTTAAAACATCAATTTATAACGGATGTTTGTTTAGTTTCCGATATTGTCCCATATATTTTGGCACTTTACAACGATTTTTCCTATATTGTCCCGTATGTTTGTCCATGTTATAATAGTTGTTCCTATGTGATTGTTCCACATGTTTGTCCATGTCATAATGGTTCTTCTTATATGTTCCCATATATTTTCCGAGTAAATATCTCACAACGTCCATGGCTTTTGTGTACGGTATCACCGTGCGCAACCTCACCTCAGGCATATCTCTGCACAATGTGCACCCCACGCGCGGTGGTCACCAGGTCACTCAAGCCGTTCACCTGGCCAGGATATATCATGTGCATATATGATAAGTATGGTATCAAAATATAAGTATCACATTATTCTAATAATTATAGTACGACATATAATTTTCATATGATTACTTATCCTAGTATGATCACTATTGTAATGTTGATTCTTAGTTACAGGATATATATATATATAAAAAAAAAGAAAAATAAGTATAGTATATAATATATGTGATCAGTATTAGCATAACAGCCATTATAGTCATGTACTACATCATGATACTCATCGACATGTTGAATATAGTACTAATTATGTGTATATTATATATATATAAGCACAATATATTTACTGACATATACAGCATACCTATGCGTATGTATATGTATACCTCTAAAAAATGACAGAACAACTACACTAGTAACGAGTATAAGATGTGTTTGTATATATAAAGTGTGAGGCAAAATGAAACACACACATATATATATATATAATATGTATTAATATGTAACATAAAATCATGTTCGGTAACTTTCTATACTTGGGAGCAATGGTGTTACTCCATTGTTGAAATGGGGAACCCCATCAAGCCAGCCAACTTTCGTTCAGCACAATGGTGATTGATGGTTCGTAGTGGCGATCAATGGAGATTACTGCAATGATTCTTAATGATGATTATATAATGATGATGTATGGTGATTAAATGGTGGTTCATGATGATGAATGGTGATTAGTGATGATTATGACTTCCTATGTCATATTTATTTTCCAAAGGGTATACCTACACCCGACATTTTGACACTTCCATGCAACTTGTAAGGAGATGATTTTGCTCGGATTTTCATGTGCCATGGTGGTCATGTGCGTATACTTGCACAGTGACTTTGGGAGGATTCTCTACAAGCTGAATTGCGGGATACAACCGCTTGCCACACCCCTGCCAAAACATCAAACGTTGAAACTCCAGAACTTATCTGTTTTCCCCCACCTGTAATGCCCCATACAGCAACAGCCTTGAACAATACGTCCATCTTTTTGATGACCCACCAGGCAGCCTCTAGCGCGAACACAGCTTCCTCCAGCGCTGGATCTTGAGTTCCTTTGGAGATCCATCCTTGGGACATCGCGGACATCGGCGGACATCGGCTGCCATGATTTGGGGGTTGCCCTCTTTAAAAACCAGCTGTTCTTGCTGGAAAATCACAAGAATTCCAACATCTGTTTTTTTTCATAGGGATTTTCATGGATTTTCCCTGCCAGCCATGCTTCTTTTCTGCCATTTTCGAATTGTCATTACAGGTCTACAACCTTGGGGCTTCATCTGAACTTCGCCTGAAATGTGAGGCTGGTATTTGCAATGGTCACGCATAGATTTCCACATGTTTGGATTGCAAACATCGATCGTGTCCCATCCACTTCGCATTATATCTGCAGGAATCTGAGGTTTTGCCATGCAAAATACTGGAGTTTCCAGAGCCCTGTAGATCTGCTTGGTGGTTTTGACATGCTTTAACCCATCATCAGAATGTTGATAATGCTGGTCATTTGGATTCCAGGGAAGTGGGCAAAATAACATATGACAACAACAACCAGCAAGGCATGATTGACATCCACCTTTGTGGTGCTTTGTCCGCTTGAATCCCATGTTTGCTGGGAAATTCACCATGGTGTTTCACCACCATGGCTTTTTTTCATGATTCACTATTAACCACTATGAACCACTATTAACCACTATTAACCGTTATTAACCACTATTAACCACTATGAACCACTATTAACCACTATTAACCGTTATTAACCGTTATTAACCACTATTAACCACTATTAACCACTATTAACCACTAGTGTTCGCCATGGTGTTTCCCCAAAACAAATGGCTACCGAACCTGGTGAAAAATCAAACCTGGCTTGCTGGAAAATCCCACGTTCGCCAACAATTCGATGATTCACCCAGCGCGGTTTTCCTTCCCGCTGGGCCTGACATGTTTGATTACCAACAGGTAATAAAATCATTGTATGATATCCATTAATAACTGGTGGATATTAACCACTAATGGATATTTAACAAGTGGTTATTAATGGTGGATATGATAACCATTAATATAACCATTAACCACCATTAATAACCACTTTTTTTAATCACTATGTAATCAAACATGGCAGGCCACTGGGAACTCCCCGAGCTAAATTAAATGAAGGTTTCTAGCTGGGTGAAAAAATATAACGATTCATTCATATATTAATCACATTTAATCACCAATAGTCACCATTAATATCACCATTGCTAACCATTAATCTCACCATTAATCTCACCATTATTAATTGTGATTGACCATCTGGGGAAATTATAATAAGTCACTAACCTGAAATAAGGCTTCTTGGGATAATTCTCTTTACTAACCATCACGTTTCCTCACGTTTCCGGAAGTCTCAGCGCCTCAGCAAAAGCGGAGAACGCCAAGATTTTACTTGGATTCCCAAAAGCTTGTTTGTCACAAGCACCGTAAACTACGCACTGTGGCCAAACGTGGAGATGAGGTCTTGAGGATTGTGTCGGCATACTGTCGCAGTGACTGTTTCATGCGTATCGGTACGCACATCGTCCAAAAACCTAGCACTTCGCTCTCCGGTCGCAAATGCAGTGGAGTGATTTGTTTTAACGTTGCTGCTGAAAGTCCTTGCGTCCACTTACTAAAACTTTTGGTCCTGGCAACGAAGTCCTGTGATTTCAGACTGGCACTGAGATTTTCCCACTTCTTTCGACTTTTGTTGTACCTGACTCCTTGGGAGTTGGTCTCATACTCAAAAAGCACATTAAGCTGAAACCATGAGATGGCTTGGATTGGTTCACCTTTGTCACATATGTTGTGCAACCACGCGGCTATTTTGTGTCCTTCGCTGCAGTCATAGTTGATCGGTATTTCAACTTCGTTGAAACTGGAAAAATCAACCTCCTCAACTTGGTCAGCTTGAATACGGCTTGGGTGCTGTTTGTCTTCTTGCTGTTCTCGTTGAGGGCCACATCGGATGGCTTCTTTTGCAACAGCCACTATGGTTGCATGTAACTGGTTTCTCATCACGTGAATTGCCTCTATGTCTGCTTGAAGTTTGCTCCACAACTGGTACTCCTTCACATTGGTGTGAAAAGTTGCTTGTGCTAGCTGGTCTGCTGCTTCATTCCCTTTAAAGATCCACGCCTCTGCTTCATCTGCTGCTTTGGTGATGTCCTGGTGGCTGCTCACCTTGATGATTTGAAGTTGATCACCTAACTGGAAAGTAAGCTGCTGAACTCTTCGCCATAAATCACCGTTGGTGGAAGTCGGCTTGATTCGAACTCGCTTACTCTGAAAGGCTTTGATCTTGGTCACAACTGTATGATTATCACACCAGATTCGCAAACTCTTTTGTTGCTGCAAAGCAAAAGTCATTGCGCTCACCACTGCCCAGATTTCACCCCTTAAGGCTGTCTGCGTCCACCCCGGTACCAGTCCACTTGCTAATGGCCAGTACTGATCGTTGATGACATCCCCAAGGACAACTGCCCATGAGGCCAACCTTCCTAACATGCTAGCCGGGGAAAGGCATCCCCCATCTGTAAAGCAATCTAGAACTTCGGGAACCTGTGGTGGGCATGTGAAAACAGCATGCTGGTCTTCAACTTCAAGACACGCCTGCTGAAACGGTAATGAACTGGGAGGTTCGGGCATCCACCCGTGCGCTGCTATGCTTTGCGGGAGTTGCTTAACTGTCTCTAGCTGGGCTGGTGTGAGACGTCTGACTGGTGCAAAGTGTGGGCATTCCAACTGGCGATGACTCTGTGAGTCAACTGCTGAGCAAAACTTGCATCGGCCTGCATCTGGGTTGTCCTGATTCTTAACATGATGCTTTTGTCGATCTGCAGTGAAGAAGGTTCCATTCAAACTGGCTCGCAACAACGCTTGGCTTTCAGGGTCTCGGTGTTTAAAACTTTGGCAAGTTAATGGAGGAGACATCCATTGCATACCCTTCATGGTTTTTCGCTCTGATGCTTGACCCTGGATTTTTCGCTGCTAGGCTTGCATCAGTCTAGCTGTCAGTTCTTGGACTGGGCAGTTGTATATGTCGATAGGGCGTTGCCATTGGTCTAAAAACACACTTCCCTTGTACCAATTCCATGCGAGTTGGTGCAACCTGGCAAGCATCACTGATATGGGGCCTGGTCTCGGCACCACTGTTTTCTTTGGCATGTGCAGGTCGGCCAGCACAAATTCTGCAAGGTCAACATTCGGGCATGTGGAACGGAACATGTTAACTGTGGCTGTGAGTGCATAAAACTGAGGGTCACAAGTTGGGTTTTCGACTAGGCTTAGGTGCACCGGTGGTGATGTACCTGGGCTATGCTCCCCCAACCCTTGGACTGCTCCTGTTCTCAGCTTCTGGAAATGTTCTTCTCCTAAGTGGACGGAAGCTACGCCATGTAGACAGGATGCCCATGCTTTTGACCTCAGTGCCAACACTTTTTGGCGGTATGTTGCCAGCGAGCGCGACAGCCGCCCCCACAATCGTTTGATCTGCAAGCATCGATTTGCGATGGTGCTGTTTGTGACCACCTGGCTGTATTGAACATGCCCCCCCAAGTCTTTCGCTGCTAAACATACCTGGTATTCGTTGTCCCTCAGTTTGCGTCGTTGGGACCCTGCTACTGACCATGTGTAACTTTTCCCATCATCTATGACCATGTCCATGGCTTGACACACTGCATCTGCACTGCATGTAGGCCATCAATGGCATCCAGGATGGAATTCGCATCTGGTCCTGTCACTTCCCAATTGTCTACAAAAGTCCACAACATAACTTGGGGGTACCGTCGCAACATGTACTGATGTACCACTATGTTGGCTGCTAACATGCTGGTGACTGACAAGCTACAACCTTCTGCAAATCCGCTGGTGGATTTCAGTGGTGGCCCCATGCATTGGTGGATGGTGAATCTCCGTTCCAAGGCAACTAATGCTTTTGACCAGGCCAGGAGTATTTGTGGCGGTACTCCCAATATGCGCAGGAATTCCAGTACTGGCATTCTCAGCAACATGTTGGAGGCTTTTTCCAAGTCAACTACCCCACCTGCCAATGTTGTTTGCGAACACTGGGCTGTTTCCACTTGAACCATGACATTATACCAGACATCGGCTGCTTGTTTGCCTGGCACACTGCCTGCACAAGTTGGCGGTGTGACTTTTTGCAAATGCTGTAAGATTTGTCTCGCCCTGATTGAGCTCCATGTGCGGAAAGCCACTGGAAGTATTGTTATTGGTCGGAAATGATTGGTCGTGGTGGCTGTGGGAATTTTGGCAAGGGCTGCCACTACTCCTACTACCAACTGTCTGGGCCATTCATTACCTTGTTCGATGCCGGCTAGCATTTGTAAAATGGCCTCAGTGGCTGCTTCCGGAAGGTGCAAGAGGTCCTGTCTGCTGACCCCATCCGGTCCTGTTGCTGCTTTTTTCTTTTTACTTTTGAGGGCATGATACCACATTTCTTTGCTAATTGGTTGGTATTCCATGGCTGGTATTTTTGGTAATGCCAACTCGGCGAACTGCACCAGGGGATCCCATCGTTGGGAATCAACATTGAGGTGGCGGTCCCACCTAGCACTCCATTCTTGCCCGAACTTTGCAAACAGGTCAGTGAGCCTACCTACGTAGTTCTCTTGTTCTACAGTCATACCTGTTTCGAGGCCATCAGTGGATGTGATCCATATTTTTGATTCCTCTGCTTCAATCACTTCTATGGATCTCCCCTGGCATTGGATGGGCTCTGCTTTGTTCCATGGCACGTCTTGGGTAGTTATTATTGCGGATTCTTCAACATCAATTTCTTCAATTATGGCTCTTTTTTGTTCAACCAACATTTGCACTGGCATTGGTTTTTCATCTCGCAAGTCCTGAAAGATGACAGCTGGGTCATCTTTGCGCCTTTGTTTGGCCTCCTGACATCGCTTGGCATTCAAGTTGGATTCTAAACCTTTAAGCATCATATGAAAAAGGCTGCATATCCGTGAGGCAAGGTCATGGTCAGGCGGGTCATTTGGTACTGACACCGGTGCTTTCTGCTGGTCTTGGAGCCATATTGAAAAATTGGGGGAAAACCCTGGTGCTTGCACTATACTTTTTCATAGTTTTTCTCGGTGAACTGCTGCGGTCTGGCTGTGTTTGAACTCTTTGACAAGTCGAGCATAGTTTACCAAACGTCGATACTGTCTTGTCCATCTGCAGTGCTGCTGATTGACCCCATGATAGGACGGTTGGTACTCCCCTGCTCTGGGTTTTCGGACTGGTGCTGAATGTTCTTGGATCCAAACCACTTCCAGTTGCTGCCCTCTCCCTTTGGCTTGGGACGACAATGGCTGCTTGCCTTTTGCTTGAAGCGCTTGATCTACTGCTTGCTCCACATTATTCAAAACCTGTGCATAAAACCTGGTCGGGTCACTGCTTGGTTCCGGTGATTGAAACTGCTGTGCAACCTCCTCCTGTGTCACTGCTGTCCAGTCTATTGCTGTTGGGTATTTCCACAATGGCAACAACGGTGGGGCTCCCAAAGAGGAAAAGGTGGCAAACAAGACTGAATGATCTGGAAATCAATCATGTTGAACCTCTACACTACGCAAGTACATGGCCAACTGTGGGCTAACGTACAAGTGGTCTTTGGTTGTCTTTTGCTTGCATGTGAACTCTATTGGCTTCCCCAGTTTTTGATGGGCCCACATTTGAACATTAACCCAACCTGCATCAAGCCATCTTTCCATGTTTGGCAAAACTCCATCTGGCTGATTGAAGTCGCCTCCAATGAACCGCAGGCCTTGGCTATGGCCTAGCAAACGGTCTGTGACATATTGGCATTGCTCATCTGTTTTTTGTCGGGTGGCTGTGGTTTCTGGATGGGCTGCAAAACCGTATACCACTCCGCCCTGTATCCATCTCTCTCCAACTTGGAAGCATGCGACATGAAAACGGTTATCATGCCAAGCTTTTTCAGGCCATGTTGGTGTCATTGCCCTGTGAGGGGTCGTGGTTAGGAAGCCCACTCCTCGGTGTTTACCTCCTATAGCTGACGTAGTCTGGGTGCGTAAAGGAACTGGTGCACCCATTTGAGCTTGCATGCCTGTTTTGTGAAAGGCAAGCTGACGGTTGAATTTTTGCAGTCCAGGTTTAGACAAATGGGTCCCGCTTACTGCCCACACAGTGTGTCCACTATTGGCCCTAGGCAACTCAGCTAAGATGCTAGATTTATCTATTACCCCGGTCGGGTTAAGGCATCCGATGACAAGTTCATTGGGTGGTGGTCCTGGCACCGCTGCCTCTCCGATTCTGCACATGCATAGGAAAAAGCAAAAAATGAGCTGCAAAATGCATCTGGCTCCTGTACATCTTTGGTGTTCTGCTCGGACTGATAGTCACTCATTGGTTCGCTGTCTTTTACTAAACAGCTGTTCGATTCTCTGCGTTTGCTGTTCAAGCTTTGCCTCAAGGGTATTTTGGAATACCCCTTGTTGCTGATCTACCTTTTGATCCAAGCTGCGAAGCTGATTCTGGACAACCTGGTGCTGCTTTGCTGCCTCTTGTTGGTTCGTTGCGACTGTCTGGCTAAGCTGATCCAGTCTGGCTTCAAGTGCATTGACCTTGTCTTCTGAAGACTGCGGCATATCAGCATCCACCTTCTTGAGCTTGGTGATGACATTCTGCTCGATTCTGCTTTCCATAGATACGATCTGGCTCGTTGGCATTTCCCTTGCAGGGGTTTTGGTCCAAGGGTCATAGTGGATCCAAGGGTCATCACCTGAGCTTGCTGGTGTGGCTGCTTGCAATGCTTGAAGTGTCTTGGACGATGCCAAAACTGCCTGCGGTGGATCTTGGTTGGGAATCCCTTTTTCTTCAGGGGATATGAGTATGTCTCCATGCGACAGCTGAAATATCCAGTGAGACGGCGGTTCAGCTGCTTGGACCAACCACATGACTCCTGACCGGTCTTTTGCTTGCCCTTGCGGGGCTAAAGGCCTGGCTTTCCACTGCCATTTGTTGAAGACATGAACCAAAGACTGTTTGGTTGAACCGAATGGCATAGGTCCCACCCGGTATTTGGTCAGTTCAGAGCCTGGGATGAAAACCAAATCTGGACGGTGGATCTGGTGCAATGCTTCTGCCTCTTCGCTTGTCACTCTCAGCCCATAGCGGTCTGCTTGACGGACCAAGGTGGTAGGCACTTTGGATGTCTTTTGGCTCACCTGTGCTTCTCCAAACGTTTTCTTTGGCAGCCAGACTACCTTATACTGCTCATCTGGGTTTCTTCCGTCGGCTGTTCTTGGCTCTACATATGTTCCTTGCACTCCATTGGCTTGGAAGACCTGGTCAACAACTGTCTGGCTGAGTCTCATGTTAACACTAAACATGGCTGCATCATCTGGCGAGACCTTAGTCATTCGTGCCGTCATGTACTGTCGGTCCCAAACGTCGATCACTTCCTGCTGTTGCATGCTTCGGAACGGCTCCTGCTGCATCAAGTATCGAACTGGGCTTTTGATGAACTCATCCCACGTTCCCCCAAACTGGTCTTTGTAGACTACGATCCTCACTACTTTGTTGGGTACTTCGGGTACTTCAATGGTTTGTGTTGGCAAGTTACGAACCACTTGTTGCTGACCCAATTGGACAAGTGCGACCTTCAGGATGAGGGGATCTTTCGTCTCTCTGCATTGGACTGGGACTTTCAAGACCTGGTGATTTGGTGGGAGTCGCAGGTCATCAAACTCCAAAATCAACAAAGCGACCCCTTGGTGGCTGACTGGTTCATTCAAGCTGAAGTATGGCAAAGCTTCAGTTATGTTGGTAAGCACCACCCCTTGGCTGCCGGGTGCTATTGCTGCTGTTGGGATCTGGCTGATCTCTGTTCCATCGGTCTGTTTGAACACTGCATGCGGCACGGCCAATTGGTCTGCATGCAATTGCAAAGGTGCTTTCTTCCCATTCTTTTGCTTGGTCTTGTTGGTTTTCTTCCCGATTGGTGCTGTTGATTGGGCTTTGACTTTCAACATGGAACTAAGTTCGTCTGCCAGTACAATCCGTATTGGTGGCTTTTGAAGACTTGCACGTGCTTTCAAATCAGCCCATGGCTTCGGCGACTGCAAAATCTGCTGGATGGCTGAACTGCCAAGCGCTTGAAACAGCTGATCGGCACACTCCTTGCTTCGAGGCATCGCTACTCCATGTTCTACAATGAGGGTCTGAAGTTGGTCTTTGGTTGACAACATTCCTCCCAACATCAGTGGTGCATGGATGACTTCATGTGCTTTTCCTGTGTGAAGCAAATCTCCAAAAAACAGTTGTCTCCACTCTTCAGCTTGTCGTTCAGAAAATGGGACATTTGTTGTCTCGTCCAAAAGCACTGACAGGATCCATCCAATCGCTTGGAACCCACAATCTGTTGGGAATGCATGTGGCATGACACTCGTGAAGAACTTGGCTGCCTCAGTGCCTACCGTTGTTTCAAACATTGGCTTGATCCACTTGAGTCCTTCATGGGTAGTCCAGATCTGAATGTCAAGTCCATAAACTTTGACAACAATCGGCGTCCAGTGGTTTTGGTACAAAACTACTACCGCTTTGACACAACTGTTGGGATCAATGCCTGCATCATTGATGGTTCGAAGGAGAAACGACGTGAGCTCAATGTGGCTGTCTGTTTTGTCCTGCAGTTCCAACATGCCATTGGCTGTGCTTGGTCTGTAACATTCCAACATGTACATGTAGTACTCCATTTCATCATTGGCTACCCACCCTTTTTGGTCCCACAAAAGAACGGCACGCACATCACCTGCAAGTTTCGGCGGTTTTCCATGCATGACATGTGTGGCTTTTGTTTGCTCATTCTGCTGTGGTGTTTGGGTTTCCATATGGTACCATGAGTTATGTTCAAGTGGAAATTCATCTGCAACAGTACTTCCCATCAAGGTCGTGACTGATTGATACTTCTCTTCATTGAGCTGCTGATTCGTGGCTGTGATCAGCTGGGCTGCTGTTGTGCCTTTTGTCATCTGGACGGAAAAGAAACCTTCACCTGGTGTGACAACCTTGACTGTGATCAGTTCGACTGGCACTGGGTCCTCCTTGATGGAGGTATGTGGCTGGTCTGACATGGAGCTAGCATCATCAGTGGCTTTCTGGCTTGGCGAACTGAAAGGCTCATAGTGTTGATCACCTGCACACTTCTGCTGTTTGGCTGGCTGATCTGCTACCCCAATCTTTCGTTTGGCTGCAAACCCTGGTACTGCCCCTACTTGAAAAAAAGGCTGATTGGATGCAAGGTCATGCATGTCCAATTGATTTTTCACCATGTTGTCAAAAACTGCGTCATCATAAAAGTCTACATGGTGAGCGGTGTCTGATCGTTCTCGTGTTCCATCATGATCGGCTGCTTTCACATTTGACATCAGGTTGATGTCCGGTCGGCTTGCAATCGGATGCACGGCTTCAGAAACATCAGACTCGGCTTCTTCATACGGATCATGCTGGCATGGCGGTCCATGGTCACTGCTTTGGGTCAAAGGCATGTCTCCTGTGTTTTCACTCTCCACTGTACTCTCTACATTCTTATTTTGGGAGGGGCCCCCACACCCTAAACGTGGAAGGGGCATGGCATGAAAGCGGGTGGGAGGGACATGGGTGTCATCGCCTGGGCTGCTGGCTGACGTTGCTGCTGCAAGAATTGGCTCGTCTGGCATTTTTCTCGGCTCAGTGGTTGAAGGGTCGCGCCTGGGCTGACTCTCACCTGTGTGCCTTCTTGCTTTGACTGCTGGGCTGCTTGGTGCGTCTTTGGCACCTTCTTCATGTTCCTTTTCCACATCATTGCACTGGGAGGGGCCCCCACACCCTAAGCGTGGAAGGGGCTTGGCCTGAAAGAGGGTGGGAGGGGATACATGGGGCATCTCACCTGAGCACATGTCTTGGCTGGTTGATGGTTCAAACTCATCAGGCAACCTCCAAACTCTTGGCGTGTCAAGACTTTCAACTTCCTGCATGAAGATCCGCATGGACTTCGTCATGTCTTCATTCGGCCAAAAATGGTCTCTTTCATCCAAAAGTTCTTTACACATGCTTGCAATGACATGTCTTGGGATGATGTCAGTCTCATGAATTTTCTGTTTGGATGTGTGGTACATCACATTGGCTAGCACCCATGCGCCCTGAAGTGGTGAAGCTAACTGGCCTACCCCTGCTAGTTCCAGCCTCAATGGTGTGTCACTGCGGGGAAGGACATGGGACGGATGCAATCCATTCAGCAATGCCACTTCTTGCGGGTGTGGGTGTCTCGCAGCCTGCACATTGGACGACGACTGGCCGTCAGTGCTGCTCAATGGGATCAAAACTGCATACAAACCCTTTTCTTCCAGTCTAGCTCGACTGAATCCTCTGGATCTGCATTGGCACAGGCATGCAACCAGCTGTGATCCCCATGAATGGGTGGCGGTTGGCATTGCTTTGAACACATCAATAAGACTGGCTACAATCCCTCCTTTCGCATTGCAAAACTGCTGAAATTCATCATCAGAAAGCATAAGTTGCTGGAGTGCTTCATCCGACATGGGGAGCATGGTTTTGAGGACATGGATTATGCTAGGCATGAATCTCATCGATGGCATGGCTGGGATCGGTTGAATGGACAGTGCTGCATGCGCCACTACTGCCCACCATCGGGTTCTCCGTGCTGGCCACATCTCATGGAGGTGGAGTACTGACTGCTGCACTCGGTAGCCAGTTTGTGCTGAGAAACACTCAAGCTGCTTCTGAATCCATTCTGAGCTGAAGGCTTCCTTGGTACATTCCAACACGTACATGATACACCCCAAAAAGTACCCCAACATCATGGTTCCAGTGAATGATTCGCTTCGTGGGTCATCCCCCTGACGTCCGTCACCTAATGCTGAAAAAGGTTGGCATGAGATGCCGGCTGAAACAACATGTGACTGCCTGACACACTTGGCAACTGCGGCAATGGTCTCGGCATGGGCAACATTGCCCCGGATGCATGGTGTTTCAGTTCGGCTTTGCTTCCAACGGATGAACTGCTCATTGGAATCTACATGACACAACACTTCGGCTCCACATGCTTCATACCCTCGAGTCACTGCACCTAGTCCACTGCACACATCAATCACTCGGTAGAGTCCTTGCATCTCTAAGGCTGGCCTAGGAAAAACGTGTGTTGTTTCCCCCATTTTGATCCACCATTGCCCCTCTTGTTGGGTTAGGTGTCCATCCAGAATTGAGTGGCATTCATGTCCCTTTTGCAAATGACAGTCAGTGATGAAAAGCTGATGTCGAAGTGCTGTTCTGCACAAGTGTCTACCTGGCTGGTAAACTACTGTATGGAACACAACCGAGGTGTTGAAGTCTTCATACTTCTGGCCAAAAATTGGCTCTAAATCCCAGGGAGAACATTTCATTGCGGCAAGTCCCCCCCAAACGATTGGTTCGTACAAGCTCACCTGCTGGTAGGTGTTTGGGCCCGAGCTTTTTACTAACCATCATTCTCACGCTTGTATAAGTTACCAAGAACCATAATATATATTATTGATGGATCAGTATTAGTCACTATTAGTCACTATTAACCACTATTAACCAACTATTAGTCACTATGAGTCACTATGAGTCACTATGAGTCACTATTAACCAACTATTAGTCACTATGAGTCACTATGAGTCACTATTACCCACTGATACCCTTAATGGTTTTTTTCGGACACCTTCCGCGCTCGTCGTCGCTCACTGAACTCACAGCGGTCCCGAGTCCCGCACCGAGGTCACCCGCCATCTGCCCCGGCTGCAAGGCGGACTTGCACTCCGAGAACTTCCGCGCCAAGGCTGGAAACCTGGGGATGGTTCCGCATCTGTCGGTTAATAGTGGTTAATAGTGACTAATAGTGACTAATAGTTGGTTAATAGTGGTTAATAGTTGGTTAATCCTAACGGTGCTGCTATATGTATATACAGAGCTGTGCCATGGATCCCATCAAGAAATACCCCCAATATAAATGTTAGCATTAATATACCAGCACCATGGATCCTATGGGTCTGTCGGGTGTGTCCACTAGATGTGGGGTGTCCAATAATGGGATCATTTGGGAAAGTTTAGAAAAGTTATGGGAAGATCATCAAGTTGAAAGATCTATAAATCTCCAAGGTTGGGAAGATCATGGAACATCATGGGCTTTTTGCCCCAATGGATTTTTGAATGGAGGTTTCTAGCGAGAAAATCAAGGACCTAAATGGGATATTTTCCAGCCATGCCTGATTAGCACGGCAATTCGCTGCAATTGAGAAGATCATGGGAAGATCATGGGAATATAAACATCCCCCTGTGGTATCTAGTGTATTTGCATTGTGATGGGATTTGGATCAATTTTCTTTCTTTGGACGTTGATGGCACCGTGCACTAAAAGGAAGAAACATGTGTGGCACCTGCTTAGCAACTTCAACCGGTCCTACAAAATCTATATATATATACACTTCAGCTGTGCATTGTGGATTAACACCCACAGAAGGGGTCAAAGTTGAAGTGAGCATGATAAACATTGCCAGTTGCCAGTTCCCAAGAGTTTCAGAATTACATGGAATATCCATCAATTTCCCAGGTATATCCAAGGTAAGGTATTCGTCATGGATTTATATGGTTATATGAGTTATACCCCCTGGTGAATCCCATCTCAGGCGGATTGCTGGCTCACGTCTTTCGTCAGCGTCTCCTGGGCACCATGGTGAAGCTCCACCGACATCTTGGAACCATTTTTTGAATTTCCCTTGGGGTTTGGATGCATTACACTAGCAGTTTAAATCACTTTAGATGTTGATTTCTTTAGTTGGTTCAATTAAATGCACCCTATTTATCTATTTGTCTGTCTGTCTATCTGTCTGTCTATCTATCTGTCTATCTGTCTACCTATCTGATCTATCTGATCTATCTGATCTATCTGATCTATCTGATCTATCTGATCTATCTGATCTGTCTGATCTATCTGATCTATCTGATCTATCTATCTGTCGATTTATCTAGTTATCGATTTATCTATCTATGTGCATTTATCTATATATAAATATATATGCAGATATTGCATACAATTCTATATATGTATATAATTGTATATAATATATATATATATATGTATGATGTATGTGATTATATGTGTGTGTATTGTATATCATAAGATGCGCTCCAAGTACCAAGACGAGCTCAAAAGCTCCAAGTGGCCTAAGACCTCGGTAATTTTGGTCAGATTTTGGCCATGGTTTTGGCAGCCGACAGGCTGAGATAAAAAGATGCACCCAAGGATCCAAGAACAAACATTTTAATGGGTAAATCCACTATAAATCACCCATTTTTAATGGGTAAATCCACTATAAATGTTAATTTTGGTTCTCCATGGACCCCAACATGCAGGGGTTCAAAACAAAAATGGCCGGATCTATTTGGATCTGATGGAGACACACTTGAAACATCTTGAAACTCTGGGGTATCTCTGATTCCCGTATCCCAGAACTGGAACAACTCAGCACTGGGAATCATCCCACCGCCGCCATCATCGCCATCCCGCCGTGCTCCTTTAGTCTCATTAGCTCGCGTTCTGCCTGACGAATGGGTCGGCCCTCGAAACCAGCCATGGGACAGGAAAAAATGGGACCCAGCTGTCATTCCTGGAGGGAGAAAGATCCCCAATTATCCACCCCAGTTCAAACCTCACATGAAATCCGAAAAACACAAAAAAAAAAACAACATGATATAAAACACGTGTCATTTCTATGGCCGCAAATTGGGACAGCCGAACACACCCTCCAAATGATCCAAATGGAAGATGGAACCTTGAATTCTGAAATCCGAACTCCCAGACCATAGACCCAACTTTTTGGGGGTTCCATTGGTTTTATTTTCAGGGTGGAATCAATCCCGCATGGGTTGAGTTGTCACTGAAAATTCCGATCTTGGCCTGTGCCAAGGGTCTGGTCACTGGACCTCGGGAAATCAGCATCCAGATGCATCCAGCAATCCCAAGCAGCGTCCTCATGTCCACCCCATGAGCATGCGGTCATCATTGTGGTGAATAGTGGTTGATACTGGTTAATAGTGGTTAATCCCCATCCTCCCAATTTCGACCCTGTCATCTATTGTCATCCTCCCAATTCATGCCACGCCGCGTCTTCCTTTTTGACGCCTCACGTTGGCCACAATTGCTGCATCAGTCCTTGTGCTGTGCCAGCCCAACCCATCAGCTTCGGCCACATGCCCGACACCTGGCTTGGCAGCTCGCCTCAGCCATCGGAGACCATCTCTGGCGTTGCAGGAAACCCAGCAAAAAACCCTGAAATCAGTCAGGCAAAAACATGTGAACACCTAACTTATCCTAAAATCGCTGGTCAAAACCTGTAAGAGTTTCATGAGCCATCATGAGCCAATCCATTCACACACGGGTCTGGGTTGGAGTTTGAGGCGCCGGTTTGAACAACTGGTTGACCGGTCCCTTTCGTGTTGCGATTTCTCATCCTACGGTAGCCAATATTAATGCACCCCCCACCCCCACCTGTCTACTGAAACTGCCAATTTACATCTCATCTGGGTTTACAGTAGGACTAATTGACCAGATTCAGCCTCATTTTCTGGAGTCTCCATCATTTGATGCGCCAGCCTACCAAAAACATCCCAAAGCGACGTTTCTGTTTGCTCAGTGCGGGTCCTGTTCGATCCTCCCATTCTGGATGTAAAAAGCCCTAGGCAGAAGCTTGGTGCTGTGAATTCCCATTAAAAAAGCAGATCAAGCAATGCCCAATATCCTAGAGAATTATGCTTCTAGATGTTTCTAGTGGTTCTATATATGTTTCTATACCATTTGGTTCAGCAACTGGCTGGCATTTCATCAACCATGGAACCAATCCACAAAACGGTTGTAGAAATTTATGCTTTGAAGGTTCTGAAGATCAGCCTGGACCTTCCAGAGGGGCCTGGACTGGACCTTGCTGAAATGGACCTGCTGTAGGCTCGCAACATCCAAAAGACCTTTCCGGAACCATGGGTTGTACCACTGGCTTATACATTGACTACATTGAACCCTTCGTTGTCCTTGTTATGTGCATGGTTATTGGATGGTTATTGGCAGGTCTTGATTTTTGTTACCATATCTTGTATCACTTGCCCAGAGATCGCGAGGCGCCTGCAGTTCTGGTGCTCCCAGGGGATTGGGCAACTTGCCTTTTTGGAAGACCCCACGTTCCAAATCCCAATCGGGATAGAAGTCCTGGGGCTGCAGAGTTGGGATGTCAGGGGATGATCAACATGGGGATATTGTGAACCAAAATGGCAGTGTGTCAAAACCTTGTACCCCTGGTGAACATCAAAATAGCTGGTAAATGGATGTTCATCCCCCTAAAAATGGTATTAATAGGTATTGATCCATACCAACATGGGGAAGCGGTTCCATTTTTTTTTGTGAAATCATCGATCCAGAGTGTCCTTAAGATGGATCCGTTTCCCCCAACTGTGCCACCGTCTGACGATCTGAGCGCCCAGCGTGGTCATGCCAATTCCAAAAGAACCTGGAAAAATGGGCGAAAAGTGCAGGCTTCCAAAGTTTGGATACCCCATGATACCCCCAAGTTGTTGTACTCCAGTGCAGTTCGTGCTTGAGCTGAGAGTCATGCCACCATGATATGAAAGTCAGATTCTTGCTTTTCATAGTGGCGACTTGCCACACCCTGATTGTTTCAATGGTGGTCCCCCAGCGGGCGTTCTGTCCGGCTGGTGGTTTTGACCCCTCCCAAATATGGTTGAAAAGACTTCCACCAACCAGGCATGCTACATTACATATACATTATATTACATTATACTACTACAGGTCTTTCCAAAATGGTAGATACCCATTTTACCTATCCAACACTATCATTATCATTGTTGAATCGGGGAAAAAACATAAACCTGTCCAAAAACTAGCCCAAAAGTCTCCAAAAAAACTCCATTGTCAGAGTGAAGATGATCATTAAAAACAAACATGACGAAACCGGATTTTGGGCTTATCATCATTCCCCTTCTCCAGGTCCTAAGGAGCACACCAGCCATGACTGGCGTGGTTGTAGGCCAGCACCTGATCTCCATGGAACATGGAAAACCTTGGTGATTTCGGGTCTGGACTCCTTGCTTGAGATATCAATCCACCCAAACACTTCTGGAAGAAAGAAAAACCATCACAAAAACGCGTAGAATCGTGGTGCCCCTCCCATTTTTTGGAACTATTCAACACCGAGTGTGCGGTTTTCGGCATTGTAGTTGTTCTTCTCAATGCAGTAATTGGTTTCCCGCTTACCCAATTGGAGATGAAATCACCCACCTCTAGTATCCTCTATATAGTAGAGGATCCCATGGTACCCAGGCTGAAGGTGAGCCAATGACAATCTCTTCCCCCCACGATTGAATACCAGTACCACCCACCACAAAATGGAGAGATTAGCCAACCAGGGTTTCGTTTGGGAATGTTTGGGACCTAGTGACCTACTGGGACATATTGAAAATTAAAGGAATATTAAAGTATCGAATGGGATTCATAACGCAGTAAGATGCCCCAGCATCCCCCCTTCGCATCCACCTGCTTCAAAGCGAAATCTGCTTGATCTTCGTCCGTAAACTGACCGGGCCTGCACCACCCACTGGGCATCACGGTGGTTTCCCACAGGGTGGCACCAGTAATGATTGACTCTGGTCTCTTGTGCCTTGCACTCATAGAAAATCCCCAAGGGCAACGAGCATAGGCATTGCATAGGCAACCAAATCCCAATGTGTTGATGCTTTCAATCAAACGCCGATCAACTGCAGCACATCAAAAGCAAACCAACCATACTTGAACTTGCTTGAAAGCAACAACCAGCCACCCCATTGTTTCTCTCCAAACCAAATGTCCCACTGCTTGGTGGTTTCAAATTTATCAAAAAAACGAGTCTGAACTGAATTGAGATCATTATCCCAGGTCACAATTGCTCACAAAAAATAGTCGGGCTAATGGTTTTGACAACTTTCAACCCCTCTGAAAAGTAGTTGGGATCATCATCGAATCATCCCTTTTTATTTTGGTTCTTCCAAAAAACATCAACATTTGAAGATGTTGAAACCACCAGGCATCGTTGAAACCTTCACCACCACCAGGCACTAAAGGTTCCACGACAGCTTCACCTTGAGATGCTCCACTCTCCCACCACGGCGCCCGGAATGGACTTGAGCTCCAGGGCATGGCTACGGACCACCTGGTGACCATTTTGGGCGACCAAAATACGGGTCCCCGATGGTCCCCGGGTCGCCTGATGACTAGCGGCCAAAAAAAAAGCTGAAACCCTTGTAGCCAAACCAGATCAAACCATCCATCCTGGCTGAAAAATCTTGAAACCTCTTGATCTAAGTCTATCAGTCTATCTCCAATAAATTCAGCTGCTGTGGCTTGAAATTTGCTGCCAAGTTCATGACTGGAGACGGTATGAAGAAACCACCACCGCCATGTTACCCAAACTCATCAGCCCCCCAAGGATCCAACCCAAGGCTCGCCAAGACACATCCACATGCTGCTGGTGTGAGAGCAGGTTCCAAATCTTGGAAAAGTTGTGGTAATAATGTATGTCGAACCTTAGTTTTCATCACTTCTCTGGCTCTTGCTGCTTTCGATTCCCCGGAATCTCTGCATATCTCTGCCCCAACTAGATCGAGGATCATGATTCCACGTCTAGGAATGCACGTTTCATGAAACCCATGCCCCTGTTGATTAGCACGCCCGCAGAAACCTTGGTTTACTAGTGGATGTGCTCATTTTAAAAGGGTCCCGCATAAGATCATAAGAGGGCAGTGGATATCCTGAAATCTTAAAGGCTACATCACGTCATTACGTTGGAAACTAGTAGGGAAACAATCGCTCACCACCAACTTTCACCTATTTTATAAAGAAATTCCAAATTCCCCCTCTGCTTTTTAAGTAGTCATCCAGGGACACCACATTGTCGTACTTCAAGAAGTTTCCACGTTCCCTCCATGTTTGCACCACTTCCGGCACACGCCAATGGGTGAAAATTGGTAACCTCAGGTGAGGGGAAAGCCTGTTTTGGCAGGGATGGGGGTGTACATGAGTTTGTCGACACAAAGTTTGCCATCCAGGAAACGAAGCGTTCTATACTTGAAAATGCTTGAATCACCAAATTACATAGACATAGGCCTGCTTCAAAAATGTCCTGTCAGACTCCGTGAGAGCATCCAACAAACCAAAAAAGAACACGGATCCTCTCAAATCAGTGCTTGAACAACCATAACAACCTATGTAAAACACATCAAAATTGATCATGATTGATCTGAAGTTCAGAACACCGTTAGAACACCGTTAGAACACCGTTTAGTCATCGGATCACATCGGAGCAGGGCGCCCCAAAGCCCAGCCACACGATGGCCACTTTCTCTGGCCCCATGCCGTTGCCGCGGATCACCTTCGGCGGATTCGAAGGATTCACCAATTCACCGTCTTCCTTTTGGAGACGGAAGTTTTCAATAGGTGGCTAAGGTGGCTATGCGCATGTATATTAATTATATATATATATATTTGGATAGATATATATATATATATGTATATATATATATGCATATATATGTATATAAATAGATATCTGTAATATATATATATATATTTATGTATATATAGATATAATATGTATATATATATGTATATATATATAATATGTATACTTGTACATAGATATATGTATATATAATATGTATGTATATATAATATGTATATATAGATATATGTATATAGATAAATGTATAATATATATATATATATGTATATAGATATAATATGTATAATATATATATATGTATGTATATAGATATAATATGTATATAGATATAATATGTATATGTATATATATATATGCGCGTATTTGGATAAAATAATAATGTTTCACTAACCTGAAATAAGACTGTATTGGGATAATTCCCCTTGACCATGATTCCAGTGACGTCACAGTGAGGTCTTTGCATCTGTATGCAATGCAATCCGCTGTATGTAACCGTGTTTGTTTACCCGCATACATTATGAATTCTACACACACATTATGATTATATTCTTTGTGCATTATAGCTATAAGTATGCAATATAGATCTGTACCTAGATATCTATATCTATATCTGCAAATTACATATCATATATAGGCATATACATATGCATATTAAATCATATTACTGTAATATACAGAATGCGTGTTCGACCCTTTCTCCTGCCTCAATGGCCTGCTCGTAGAAGTCGCAAAGCCTGGTGCCCAAAGACTCAGAGAGTGCTGGCACACATCACGCCATCCGAACACAGCAGGATGTTTACACATATATATATATATACTATATATACTATATATATATACTATATATATACTATATATATATACTATATATATATACTATATATATGTATATAATAATATGTATATATATATAAATGCATATCATGATATATCATATATGTATATACCTATATGATTCTATGTGTATCTGGTGTTTATAACAACTGTCATGCGAACGGGGGGCAAACGCATTCCGAACGCAAACGGGTTTTGAATGGATCTGGTTGCTTCTGACTGGGCTTCAACTAGGTCAATGACTTCGAGCGCTCATTGTTCGGGTGCCCTAAGCATTTCATAGAATTTCTGAGCAAGTGCAAATAATTGCAATCGTATATATATATATATATATCTACTCATCTAGTTGTGCCCTGGAAATTCTTGTGTTTTAGGATGTTTTTGGTTCAGCATATCCATCCATCCACCCATCCACCCATCCACCCACCCATCCACCCACCCATCCATCCACTATGTTAGAATATAACATCCGCAGGAGGCATGCACAACCGACACATCAAGTTTGTGTTTAACACACTACACCTGCCGCATTTTTTCAAAACAAACAATAAAAACATGCAATAGGTGAAATAAATAGATAGCTAGATCGATAGATATGTAGATGGGTAGAGATAGGCAAATAGGATAGGATAGACATAGATACATAAAGAGAAATAAATATAGAATAATATCTCGAGATAGATGATCTAGATGGAGATGACATATGATGACATCATAATTATCATAGATTTAGAAATGTGGATACCCTCTGGTAATTTAACATAGCTATGGAAAATCATCATTTTTAATGGGAAAATCCACTATAAATGGTGATTTTCCATAGCTATTTTGACATAACCAGAGGGTACCCCTTCAACAGCTATGATCCATGGCGGCATCCTGCGCCTCGTCACAGGGATGCTCTCAGCCGGTTCGTTGCAGACCTGCCCGGTGGTGGGGGCGATCATGACATGTGACATTTTAATGAAAAACTATATGGGGCATATCTGATAATATCATTAATAGTTAACCATGTATAACCAACCAGATTAATCATCTGATAACGATATGGAGCTACTATGGGACATGGTTAAATGTTAAAATGTGTGACATATGTTCTATATATGGGGTTATGTTAACCATTGTTAACCATATAGTTATATATGGGGTTGTGTTAAAATCATAACAATGGCTACCATATATAACTAACCATTGTTATAATAATCAAATGAGAAAAAATCTGGTTAGTTATATCTGGTTATATTACAATATCCCAATGTCACAATATAATCAATATCTGATTAACAATGTTTTTTTATTGGCTTATGGAAACTCAAATCTGAGTTGATAAGTCTCATTGCGCTTCAAATGTTCCGACAGGGTGAACCCAGGGACCCGGGAAGAGTTTTGATTGGGATCAAGGTACCCTCGATCCGGATGGAAATAAGAAAGCATGCTTGATCATAATTACTTGCATGTTTATAAAGCCATGGATGGAAATAATAAAGCCACTAAGGATGGAAATCATAAAGCCACTAACTTAAAGCCTGTTTATAATATTTTATAATTGCTTGCATGCCCAGGTGCGACTCTTCACGCACTGGTCTTGCACCCTTACCCAATGCAGCTAGGGGTAAATGAATCATATCATAACATCCTTCAACAGGTTGAGTTTCAGCTGGCATGGCGGACTTTGAATACTATTGTTCTAAAATTAACACGCTAAAATTGCGGTAACAAATTACCTAGTCACAGTAACTGGTACACCAGTATTTCTCGCGGCCAACCCGCAAACGCAGACCAAAATATACCAGCGGCACATCAAGTCGCGGGCCCAAAAACAACTGACCATTTGGGTTTGTTTGAACATGTGATATCTCATGATACCTCAAAGTCAGGAGCTTCGTCGCCATCTGCCCTATGAACATGTATAAAAAAAATATATAAAAAGGATTAAAAAGGGGGCAAAGCACCACGTTCAAATACACCAAGATGGATCAAGTTGATTGCATTTCACATTCCATCCCCATCCATGGTTGCTTTATAATCAGCTGATTGTTCATAATTTTCAACTGATTGAACCCATGCATCGCCATTATATTCCCATTACAGTATACCGTTATACTATGTTATACTACCATTTTCTCCGGCAAAGTCAGCAATAAAAATCACCAATGAAAAACAGTGGTCGACTAATGACTAAATCATGCATCATCATCGTAAACAAATACGGCTTAAATTATAAACAATTGTTCATTCCCATTATACGCCAATCTTCTTCTACAAATGCTTTAGCAACAATCAACTTAAGTTGGTAAAATATTCATGATTGTTGCCAAAAATATATCCATATATTATATAGCCATAAATTGTAATCATTTATATCATATATGATGTATGTAAAAGCTGCATTCAATGGATTGGTTTAAGGGAAATTTGAAACCGGACCCCCCCGGGAAAATCATGGAAACATCCATGGGAAAACCGGTGATAAAGCGCGCCTGAATGCCGGTGATGCAGTCCTTGCCGCAGTAGCGAGCCGCCAGGCGCCCTAAAATACTCACTGCCTGCGCCATTTTTGGAAAACACATGGTTTGGAAAAAATCTGGAAACGGTTTTCCAATACGGAAGGATAATGAATATTCCAGAAATTGTTCATACACCCTACCTTTTGTTGGTGGGAATATTGAAAAATATCCAGTGTGTGTTAAAGAATGTTCAAGGTAAATGAGACGTATTGATAATAGCTATGAGACGGTCTTTTTGGGTGGATGGATAGGAAATGGATCTTATTTCAATCTCCATGAACCGACTTTAATGGGAATGATGTTGTTTTGGTAGATGCTTGGCTCACTGTGATGTGATATTACACACTACAAAGTCACTACAACACGCAAAACCGAATATAATACCACATAGCAAAATACAATACATTAGTCTACAAACTTCAAAATGGTGGTTCACAGCGGTTTCCAGTTTGCAACCCTTTTCGCAACCCTTTTCTGCACTCTTTCACCTCGGGGGATGATCAGAATATTGAAAACCCTCGTTCCCTTTAGTCTGGTTGGTTGATATAGGAGTGTGATAATATCAAATATGTGTATATATAAGTCATACATATATATATATAAGTATGTATGTGTGTATATATATATAATATTAAATATATTTAAATATACGTTTAAATTTTGCATTATTATAAACATATAATAATATAAGTATATATATATATGCATACGTGTGTATATATATATATTATTATTATTATATAATATTATATAATACACACATACTATATATACACATACACGTGTATATATATATATATAAGATTGGACCCTGGATAGCAAATTAAGTACGATGGTATAATAGCCCCTAGAATGAACACTGCTTGCACTGACTGTGACCAAAAACGCCTCATCGCTGCGCCATTTCTCCCAGGTCCAGCTGGGATCCGTGCGGCCGCAGGGCCGTTCGCCGTTTTCGCCGCCCGGGGCGCCATGCAGGTCCTGTGGCGCCCGGGGCAAAGGTGGGACCTGGGACCCCTGGATTTTCCCACATCGATCCGGAAATTTGGATGGTGAACCTTCCATTTTCTGGGTCAAAACGGATCAAACATCCGAAACAACAACGGTCACTGGCGGTCCAAGCGCACTGGCGGTCACTCCACGTAAATACAGTTCTGCACAATGTAAAATGGATGTATCCTTGTTCTTTCAAAGAATTCCAGGCCCACCGCCAGCCAGAAAAACACGGCAGCTATCAAATTGATATCTTAAATACATGTTTGACCAATTGTGGAGTCTAGAGGAACCCTGTCTTCAGCAATATGGGTCAATACGTCATCAAGCAGTGTATCAAGTGCTGCCCGAATCCGTCACTGGGTCAGTGACGGGATCAGTTAAGGATTCGAAGCCCTCCTTTTTCCGCAGTGTTGCAGTAGTTCTACCTTGTAACCACCTTCATAGCTACTAATGTCACCCTGGAGTAACAACCCCCTAGTTTTTAATTGAGGGGTACCATTTAATTTTAGATTATGACATTGGAGAGTACCCCCCTACTTAATAACCGGTTTGATTTCCGGGGTTGACATTAATGTGGTAAGCCCAGCAATAAAGCTCCAATTCTGGAGGGTTTACAATGCGTAGACCGACCCATTTCTGGAAACATTGGGGATGTTTATATAATATTGACTTTACCACATATCGGTGGGATTCTTTGTCACCCCACTACGCCCATCCGCATCCCATTCCCCCAATTAGCGTCGCACCAGCAGCAACTGCAGCCCGCTCTCAGCGATCTGATCCACGGCAGCGTCTAGGGCCTCGCAACCTTGGGTGCAGTGGGTATGGGATGCACCAAATCTATCCAAGGTGTTCATGTCAAGAAAAAAACAAATTACAAACTGCCCCCAAAAATGCAAAATAAACAAGTAAATTATATTAAATTATCCATAAATGCTCAAATTTCCACTACCTAGTTAAAAAGGAGTACTGAGTACGGGTCAAAGTTGGGGCACACCAAATTGGACGGTGCGTTATTTTCCGCGTGGCATGGAGCCTTGAGTCTACGCGCGGCTGCACCAAAATTGACTTGTCTTGGTATGGGTTAACAATTTTTAACACCTGGAACATTTATGGAATTTGACATAATTTGACACAAAGAGAAAATGAGGGGCACTTGGTTTTTTATCTCCCCAACTTGCTGGGGATTTGAACAAATACTGGCCCCCAGGCTACTCCACAAAACGACACGACATGGTTTTAATTCATGTGCATAGACCTGAAATGTGTCAAATGAATAAACCTTGGATACATTGACCATGTTGACTTCAAAACTAAACATGACTAAAATCTGCAGGTCATAGTGCCTGGATGTGCCGAGAAAACATTTCCGGATTTCCCCTGGGGTATCCTGGGGTCCAGGCAGGGCCCCTGAAAGGCTTCTCCTTGAGCTGGCTCTTGCAGCACCCAGTGTCCCACGGGCAATCGCACCGCATTGAGCCCGGTTTCCACGATCCGTCGCATGGTCTCGGCCTCGACAGGGAGAGGGCGAGAGGCCTATGGGCCGGTGGGGAAAGCGTTGGAAGCCAGGATAAATACATTGATCGTCGACATTGCTTAGAGATCCCGAAGATAGAAACGTAAATCACCAACAAGTGTTCTATGATCTTTCTATGATCTTTTCTATCTTCTTGGCACCCTGTAAAGGTTCCCATTCAAATCATGCAACATCCCCCTGCCCAACGAATCCAGGATGCTGTGTAGTGCGAAGCCCGGTGCTCTTCAAACATTTGCCGCCTCAGGTTGGAAGAGAAGACACATGACTAAGGAAAATGGGTCCCAAAGAAGATCGAAAAGAAAGTCCCTGCTAGTTTGATGAGGATCTACTGGTTTTTTCTCATTTTCAAAAAGTTCAACTCATTCCAGGGCCTTGGTATTCGCACGTGATGACTTATGTGACTTCATGAGTCGTGATCATCTATGCCTTGCCAGGAACAGCGTCATGCGGTACCATCAATGAGCAACCTGCTCCCATTCGGCTACCCTCAAGGAGTGGAGCCTGTGGAGCAATTTCAAGCGGTCCAGTGTATTCAATTCCAGACATTTTTCATTGCCATGTCTCTCATCAAAGGCTACTTTTGGAGGGATTCATGCCAACCTTCCCTTGCGTGGCTGAAACTGTCTCTTGAGATCTATGTCAAGGGTGTGATGGCCTTGCCCATCAACTGCCAGTGACGTCTACAATCCGGGATGCCTTCGGGTAAGCTGATTGGGCAGTGGAAAATAATCCATTCTATCCACAAAGTTTGGCATACCTACATCTAATTACAATATACCATGATGATATACCCCATTTCTAGGCAAACCCATGCCCACAGATCACCAACTACCGAGGTGCTGCAAATCCGCACCCCCAGCCAGTTGCAGGGCTTGGCATAGGCTGTGCTCATCGTCCATTCCAGGAGGATTCTCCCGTTTTTCCAGCTTCGGGGCCTAGGGGCGGATGTGCGGCCAAAACTCAGGGGTAACCTTGGAGGAATTTGTGCACGTATCTGAGTCTGGGCCAATTGCAAGACTTCAGAATCCATCAGAATCCAATGCAGATCATTTTGTTGGTAATTTCCAATTGCAAACCAAAAATCAATCCGGGTTGCTCCCAACACCCCGGATACAAGCGCTGGAAATTTGGGGTAAGTCGGTGAGTCAAGTAGAATCACCTATTTCACCTGCAGAAACATTTGCCCGTGCCCCGGTCGCCCGATGTCAATCCTGGAGGCTCCAGCCTCAGGCGCATCGGGCCCCAAACGGATCTCTTGAATCTTCCCCTTGGCAGTGGCAGGACAGGGTGCTGTAAACTCAGTCGCTCTCTTTGCCTCCCTGGTCTATCTTTTTTCCACCCTCTCTCTCTATGAGTATATTGATGTGATATATTGTAATGAGGCATATAATATTACTGCATATATACATGTGCCGGCACACACACACACAGACACACACACACACGTCTAGAATCACTGAAATGTGACACAGGGTTCCAGGCTGTTTCATGATCTTCCATGCCATCCATGCTACCAGCTGGAAGTATCCAAGGTGGACTCCTAGCTATGCCCAGTTGCATGGCAGGTGTCAAAGAACGGCGAAGCTGGACCGGGTTCCAGCAGAAACCACCCTGCACAGCGACGGTGCCAGAATTGGCTGATCATTGCCTGTCCATTTTACCGAACTTAATAACAATCACCCTCTAGTATATTCATATTTATCTAATTATCCCCGTATACACTCATAAATAGATAGGTAAATTAAACACAATATCAATATTACACATACACCGCCACACATGATAATTATGTCATAATACATATATGGGGATGGATCAAAACCCTGGTACCTAGTGAACCCCAAAATAGCTGGTAAATGGATGTTCATCCCACTAAAAATGTATCTATAGGTATTGACCCATACCCATATATATATATATACCCATATATATATATATATACCTGCGTGTTTCTATCTCTTGCCAGGCATTCAGTCGCAAGTCATCGCACCTCCCAGGTTGGCTCCCCGCCAGCTGGGCTGCTGCCAGTGACATCGATGGAACTGCTGCAGGGCGCACGTCAAGTGCTTCCAGGCCCCGGAAGGGTCGCTTTTGGCCACCAGAAGGTGCCAGAAACGCCCCAGCCTGGGAGCTTGGGATCAACGAGAACTTTAAGGAATCATTAAGCTAATGATACTATATCATATTAATACAATATAATATACATATTCAATCATATTCATATATGTAATTATATATATATATACTTTTATTGATGAATAAGTTAGTGGGGATGACCTACCAAGCATCACTTTCTCAGTTCAAGGGGATGACCTGCCAACCCTTTCTCCATCTTGAGATGGATCCGGTGGAATGGCGGCCGGGCAAATCTTGGGGTGTTGGCATCTCACTTACTAATCAATTCAAGAAAATAATGCTGCTTTTACTCATCATTACTAATCAATTCATGGATGTTCATGGTACGAAAATCAGCGTAGCAATTGGGTTTGTTGCTACTGTATCCTGCCTGCGAAGTTTGCTTAACTTCTAGTGGGTGATGTTCTGTGGCAAAATCCATCCGCCAAAAACACAAAGTGTATCGCTTATCGCTGTGTAGTATTGCCTACCATCCTCCCGAAATTTCAACTTTGGAGCCAGTCTTTTTGGAAGTGTAGTTGTCTTGATTTGATGTTTTGAGGTGAGGCAAGATACCCTCTGGTTATTTAACATAACCATGGAAAATGGTCCATTTATAGATGGTTTACCTATTAAAAATGGTGATTCTCCATGGCTATGTTAAATAACCAGATGGTAGATCTTTGAGACATGTTGAGAACCTACTTTTTTTGGGCGGATGTTGATGGAATTTTGATCAAAGCAGTGTCAACTTTTCGCCTCACCCTGTCATCACTGTCTCATTGGGACACAGGAAAAACCGGGGTTCCTGCCCCACCTGCGTGGTGGATCCTACCCCCAGCCGAGATGCTCCGCTGCCATCAACGTGGCGCAAGATGAGGAATCGCTGGGACGCTGTCCTGCATCCATTCCCCGGCATTCCCCTCAGATTTTTTCTCCCCAAAGCCTGAGAAACTCCAAAGAGTGGCGGATCTGTTGATGTCATTTGTTGAACTTCCCCAGGGCTCTGCAGGTCACATCCAGAGACCCCTCCGGTCAAGATATCATGAGGGAAAATTCATCAATTTTTATATAGCAATATCATATCATATCATATCTATATATATAATTATCTATGCTATCTATATCTATATGATATCTATCTGGCTGTCTCTGTTTGTTACAATTCGAATCAATTGGGGTATCCCGGTATCCCAAAACCATGGGTTTCAATCCTAAAATGGTCAATTTTTTGATTGTTTAGGGGGTACGCTCATTTTACGAAACCTCTATATATATAGTAACCCCAAAAATAAGTAGAAACGTCGGAAACCTGGAACTATGAAGGTACCATGAAGATTCTGAAGTAAACAGAAACTGCTGTAACATCCTGGAAACACTTTGCTATCGTTTGGGGGTTGATAGAATCTTTAGCGGATTGACGACCACCTGAAAAATCGGGGCATGTCCATTGCCACCAATCCTTCCACATCTCATCTCTGGTTGCGGTTCAACCCATTCAAACCATTTCAAACCTCTGTGTTCTGCAACTAAACCCCCAACCGTGCTGATGTAAAAATGCTGGGAATATTGCTTATTATCTTCACCAAACCACCAGCCCTCTGGTTGTTTTTCTGTCCTGTTCTGGCACTGGAAGATGCAGCCTGCCTGACGGCCTCAAAAGGCACAGTTCTGCTTGAAATGAGCGACAAATCCGATGATTTATCATGATTTATCAGCATATTCCATGACCCATGTTGGGAGTTCTCCCAAGTTCTCCCATGTTCTCCCTCCGTTTCCAGTTCTCCCTCCGTTGAACTCTTCAAATTGGCCAACTGTTTCCAGCCTCACAAAGTTCGGCTGGCGCATCACAGGGGATCTCCTCACCGGGGGCTGTGGGGAATCGTTGGAGATGATGATTGTAAGATGATTCTGTGTCAAACATCATAGAATTCACCATGTTTACCATAATCAGCTGAGATATATAGTTCATTTTATCATATTTTATCCATTTTAGATGCTGAATTATCATAGTTCACCAACCTGGAGAGTTCCACAATTTGCTGATAGTTACGCCATCCATTTTCAGCATACCATCATTCCAGTGACGTCCCGACAAGAAGTGGTTCTGGATCGATCACCCAGAACCCAACAAAAATATTGAAAAACATCAAACTGATCGAAGTGTGGATTTGATATGTGGAGGACCTTGGAAACAAGTTCCAGAAATATTATTTCATGATGACTTGGGACAATCATGAAAAATAGGGACAGAAAGTAACAACGTTAAACAAACCACAAGTCAGTCAAGTATGGCAAAGCTATGTACAAAATTGAACAGACCATTGTGAGCCTTTATAGTTGATAGCTAGAACCACCCAGTCATTTCCAGAGAATGCAGCTGGTCATTACATCCCTATGTGTGTTCGTGTGTGTGTGTGCGTGTGTGCAGTGCTTCGCTAAAGATGAAACGAATTGAAACTAATCCAAACTAGTACTGTAACCCAATCGGTTTTGCCGTTTTGGGCGCTTCAACCCTACCTCCAAACAACTCCCAGAACCCTGTTTTGTAAACATCTACTTCCAAAAAAACTCCATGTGAAAGATGGAAAAATATGGGTCTATACCCTCTGGTAAACTAACATAGCCGTAGAAAATCACCATTTTGAGCGGGTAAATCAACTATTTCTATGGCCATGTCCAATCGCTACGTAACAAAAATCATGTCACATCAATCCATCGCCATGGCAGCATGGCACCATCCCTGCAAGTTGATGAGACTTCAGGGCAGCAGCTACCTCACCTGGCGAAATGCTGCCCAGAAATAGGATTTTCCACATGATATAAGCCAAAAACATCCAAAAACCCACATTTTTTTCATGAAGAAAATATGGGGAAAAATGATGATCAACCATTGCCACCCAGGTTTTCCGTCGCAGTCAGGTCTTTTTGTGCCGGACAAATCAGTGGAAACTTGGGTGTAAAAATCACTAAAAGAAGACGGGTGTCCTGTAGACTTTTCCTCAAACTCGTGAAACCAATGGACCAAGTCTAGGAAAATTAGGGAAATTCCAAGAAAAGAGTGGCTCCAAAGATGGTTTTGCAAGATGATCTGATCTAATTGAGCTAATCTTAGGGTTCCAAAGCATGGCATCCAGGCCACTGGCACTGACAACTGGCATGCCAAACGATCCCCCGCAAAAAAAAGGACCCCATAGAACCCCATGGATAGCACTATAGTTACCATCTGGTACTTTGATATAGCTAGTGAACTGGTGAACATGGCCCATTCCATTAGTAGATGATTTACCTACAAACTATTATAAAAAGTAAAATTCTAGAGCTATGTTAGATTACCGGAGGGGTAATATGCCATGAATCGCCATTATAATCGCCATAATTAACCACTACTTATTAACAATTGTTAACCACCATTAACAATTATATTAACCATTATGTTAACCATTAGATCAACCATTATATTCACATATATTCACAATTGTATCAACCAGCTTTTAATCACTATTATGCACTATTCACCATGATTAAACCATTATAAACCATGATGAGCCGCAAGAAAAATGGTGATGTCCCGCTGCCACCGTGGGCCACCTGGATGTCGGACAGCGAGCTCCTCATGCGCTGCTACCCAGGCGATCGCCCGCAGATGGCAGGCTAAAGCATAGCTCAGCGCCTGTCCAATGCTTTAATAGTGGTTAATAGTGGTTAATAGTGGTTAATAGTGGTTAATAGTGGTTAATAGCGGTTAATAGCGGTTAATAGGGTTCAATAGTGGTTAATAGTGGTTAATAGTGGTTAATAGTGGTTAATAGTGGTTAATAGTGGTTAATAGTGGTTAATAGCGGTTAATAGCGGTTAATAGGGTTTAATAGTGGTTAATAGTGGTTAATAGTGGTTAATAGTGGTTAATAGTGGTTAATAGTGGTTAATAGTGGTTAATAGTGGTTAATAGTGGTTAATACTGGTTAATACTGGTTAACAGTGGTTAACAGTGGTTAATACTGGTTAACAGTGGTTAACAGTGGTTAAGTGGTTAATAGTGGTTAATAGTGGTTAATAGTGGTTAATAGTGGTTAATAGTGGTTAATAGTGGTTAATAGTGGTTAATAGTGGTTAATAGTGGTTAATAGTGGTTAATAGTGGTTAATACTGGTTAATACTGGTTAACAGTGGTTAACAGTGGTTAACTGGTTAACTGGTTAACAGTGGTTAACAGTGGTTAACAGTGGTTAATAGTGGTTAATAGTGGTTAATAGTGGTTAATAGTGGTTAACAGTGGTTAACAGTGGTTAACAGTGGTTAACAGTGGTTAACAGTGGTTAACAGTGGTTAACAGTGGTTAACAGTGGTTAATAGTGGTTAACAGTGGTTAATAGTGGTTAATAGTGGTTACTAGTGGTTAACACTGGTTAACAGTGGTTAACAGTGGTTAACAGTGGTTAACAGTGGTTAACAGTGGTTAACAGTGGTTAACAGTGGTTAATAGTGGTTAATAGTGGTTAATAGTGGTTAACAGTGGTTAACAGTGGATAACAGTGGTTAACAGTGGTTAACAGTGGTTAACAGTGGTTAACAGTGGTTAACAGTGGTTAATAATGGTTAACAGTGGTTAAGAGTGGTTAATAGTGGTTAATAGTGGTTAACAGTGGCTAACAGTGGTTAACAGTGGTTAACAGTGGTTAACAGTGGTTAACAGTGGTCAACAGTGGTTAACAGTGGTTAATAGTGGTTAATAGTGGTTAATAGTGGTTAAGAGTGGTTAAGAGTGGTTAAGAGTGCTTAACAGTGGTTAATAGTGGTTAACAGTGATTAATAGTGGTTAATAGTGGTTAATAATGGTTAATAGTGGTTAATAGTGGTTAATAGTGGTTAACACTGGTTAACAGTGGTTAACAGTGGTTAACAGTGGTTAACAGTGGTTAACAGTGGTTAATAGTTGTTAATAGTGGTTTATAGTGGTTTATAGTGGTTTATAGTGGTTATAGAATAGTGGTTATAGAATAGTGGTTAATAGTGGTTGATAGTAACAAGATGGGAATAACCGCTATTAACTACTATTGATGTACTATTTGGGTAACATGATGGTAACCTGAACACAATGGGGATAACTGGGACGACTTCTGAACATTGTTTTAACTGGGATAATAATGGAGATAACATGTGTTCAAAATGGGGATAACTGGGATAACATGAACATGACATTCATATATATATATATATATGTTATATGTTCATCAGTGGGGATAACATTAACATTATCCTACTGATAATGATGAGGGACCTGTTGACTGAAAACTTTCCGTGTGTGAGATGAGAAGATTTTGCTACATGAGCACATTTCCTTTTAAAAAAAAAGGTAACACCGGCCAGAAAATCTTAGGTAAACAGAATCTTTGGATCTTTGGGTGGTTTTCCTGTTTGAAAAAGGTGTGGCAAAACCCATTTCCAGCATCTTCAGGTTGAACCGCTCCAGCCAAGTCATATGTTCGACACAGACAGGGACACATGGACGCATTTGAACTTTTGCCACTGGAAAATGGATCTTTAAAACCCCTCTAGTAGCCTCTAGATCTGGTTTAAGCAAAATTTAGTAATTACAACATTTACTGAGTTGGATTTCTATTTAAAAAAATGGTGTCCATAGTTTTCTGCAGGTTTTCCCTCCAACATCTTGTAAACCAGCACATTGCATACTTGGAGTTGTCATTCATTTCTCCATATTTTTGCAGTACTTCAGCAAACTTCAGTATCCCGACACACATCTGCACAAATCGATCCTTCTCGATTGACCCAGCCTCATGCTCCATCGGGCAGTGGAAGGGATGGTGTCGGTTGCAAAATGGGTATGTCTGACAGTATATCCCCCAAATGATATCATTCACCAGTGGATTTAAGGGTGTTAACAAAGTGTTGCAACAATGGGGGGGCACAGCAACTTCAATCCTTTTGGAAAGGACTGCCTGCAAATGTATGTCCATGAAAGCCTGAATTGATTTCTAAGTCATCATTCATTGCAGCCATTCACTACCATCGATTTCCCACAGGATAAGTCACTGGCTCATGCTGAGCAAAAGCAAGGAGCTGGCGCCAGTCTGCCGCAAAAGATTGCCCCCACCCCGAAGAGAGATAAAGAGATAGGACAGGATTAGGATTGCTAGGATGGGATAGGACAGGATAGATTGGATTAGATTGAATCAGGATTCGCATTAGGATTAGGTGAAATTGGTCGATAGATAGATAGATAGATGGATAGGTAGATAGATAGATAGACAGACGGATAGACCGACAAACAGACAGATAGATAGTAGATAGATAGACAGACGGATAGACCGACAAACAGACAGATAGATAGTAGATAGATAGATAGACAGACGGATAGACCGACAGACAGACAAATAGATAGTAGATAGATAGCAGATAGATAGATAATGATTGACAATGATAGATAGATATAGAGCTGGAGCTAGAGGTAAAGCTAGAGGTCAAGATAAAGATAAGGATAGAGATGGAAATGACATTGATTACCCTCTGGTAAACAGTCCCAAAAAACTATGGAAAAATCACCATTTACAGTGGATTTTACCCATTAAAAATGGTGGATCTTTCCATAGTTTTTTGGGACAGTTTACCAGAGGGTAATATGATGTGTCCGCAGAATTGCTCGACATGGACATCCCTGCATTGGACCGGCGAACACGAGGCACTGGTCAAGCCAGGTATGGTTTTCTGGGAAATCCTGTGTAACGATAATTGAAGTTACAAAAAATCACCGGAATTCACCACTTCGATAGGAAAACCCAAAAAAAAAACTATATAAATGAAATTAAATGAATATGAACATGCGATTTCTCAGCCAAGTCTGATATGGAACCCCAATAAAGGCAAACCCCAAATGGGAGGTTCGTGCTCAGCCAAATGAGGTCCGTATGGGTCAAAATCAGGGTCAACCACGGACCCATTCTTATTGCTGTTTGTAGTAATTATTGAACCGTCCAGGTAAGGGGTCCACAATTTTTGTCCGGCCCATATCTCTCTCTCCGTACACACATATTATATATACAGTATATATATATGTGTGTATAGTTATAGTTTGGTGATGGTCATCCGAAAACAGCAACTTGCGGCTATTTGCTCTGATTTTACTTTCCTCTCTCTCTCAAAAGGGTGGCCTACCGGGTAACTACCTCACTTTTCTGGCGCCAGTTTCACCCGTGAGGCGTTGTGGCTTCCTGGCGGTGGCAACGTGACAAACCTGAGCATCAAGGGGAGTTAAGTTAAGCAACAAGAATGGATTAATGTTATGGTACATATGTGTGTTTCAGTTGTATACTTCCATTGCCCCCAACATCCCCCAACTAACATAGACCATTATAGACCCTACTGAGAATTGCCAATTTTGTCTAATCATCTATTTGGCAGGGTCTATCTTAGTTTGGAAGATGGCACACCTAATGAACCCTACTAGCAAAAACCATACTAAATTATAAGAACGGTATAGGGTAAATCAATCTATCTACGTGTTTCTGATGAGGGTCTTTTGTATTCTTTTGTGGGGTCTTTGGGACCACCTACTTGAAGTACTTGAAATTGATTCCCATCTGTCATCAGGTCGGCTGGTCAAGTGAAGCGTGGCTTTTGCTGCCGCAGTGTGATAACGCTTCATGGCACAGCACCAGAACTGAACCGTTCATGAACCTCAGTTCCCATTAATTACCAAGGGATTCTGAAGCACAATTTCAGCGCAAAGAAAAAATGAAAAACATCATACCGGGCGACTGCCCACTGCTGCAGTACATCGTGCATGACGTTCTGAATTTGCTGGATTCAATGATGTTCAATGGCTCCAAAACGCAGCTTGGTGTTGGGGGGTAGTCTGAAAATCTGGCCCGTTAAATGGACACTCAATGGTGGAAACGATGAAGCATGGGTTTTTTTGAGGTACCCGCTGGAAATGTAGCAACCCCTGCCGTTGTTAGACAAGACTCTTCTCCCTAGGAAAAGAGCGAGCCTAACTCAAAAAGGACAAATAATCAATGGATTCAATTCTATTAAATATGTTTCTTGCTGGGTGCGAAGAGGGGGGGGAAGCGATTGGCACCCAAAAAAATTCTGGAAGCCACTCCAGCATCAATGCGCGCGGTCTTAGACCGGGCACAAAATCACATTGAAAAAACAAAATATTTCGGAGTCCTCTCACAGAAATTGTTCCACGAGGTCCTCAACGTCAACCTTCTCCACATAAATCGTTGGGATCTGTCAGTGGCCACCTTGTCGTGAGGGTGATGAACAAAACGATGGCTAAAGCGCCACTACGAGTCACCATGGTCCACCACAACAGCCTCTGCCCCAGCCCCCGCAACAACAACAACAACAACAACGACGGCAGCAGCGGCAGCAGCAGCAGCAGCAGCTGCAGCTGCTGCACCTGCACCTGCACCTGCAAAAGCAACAATTGCTAAATAATCTATAAATGGGCCATGGCCTCCATAGCTATGTTATGTTCAATTACCCGAGGGTAAATAACTTAATTTCCCATCATTGCCCATCATCCAATTCTGATACTGGTAATCCAGTAACCCCCTAATATTTTCCACACCCCTTAAACGAAACCATGGTTTAGTAGGGGATTTCCTGGAATTTCCACATTCCATTGGGACCATAGAAATAGGGTGTTTAATATTAGGCTGATGGGATTAGTGAGCTCCGTCACTTCGTCGACAAAGGTACCACAAGAGCGCGCCATCGAAGCCTTCCAGTTCACCGTGGCAAAATCCCAACACCTCACGTGACAAGTGAGCAGAAGTGAGGCCCAAGCGGTCACTCGTAGAATTCCAGTAATACATATGGGACGGGAATATGATTTGAGATAACATATATATATATGTACATACATTGATTAACATACATACAACATATTCCAATATGAATATACTGTTTGTGTAGATAATATGAATACACCGTAATTGAGATGAACAATTTCCTGTGATTTAACATGCATATCACACACACATATATATATACACATAATAGATCATAATAGGTAGAATATCAACATGTGAAAACAAATCCCATGTGTGACGATTTTCTGAAAAATCCACATTCCAGGATGACTATGTATCTAACGTAACGTAACGTAACCTAATTTAGTGTAATGTATGTAGGTACGCACGCACGTACGTATGTATGCCCTTCGGTACTTTAACTACATAGCTATGGAAAATTGACCGTTTCATTTATGGATGATTCAGCTATCAAAGATTGTATTTGTAACATTTCGTACCCCCGGAAAGACAGAAAGATAAAATCTCACCAAAGCAGTAGCGAACTACCTTTCCATCTTTTTGGGGGTTGCTACACACATACTTGCACAATATATCATATATTAATATATCATATATTAATATATATATATATATTATTTAGATGTATGTATGCATATGTATATATATATATCATGGATAAATACGGATTAAAAAAATGTCAATGCCAATCAACTTGATCATACTTGATCCATATCCATAGCCACCTCATCATTGCGCAAGAATCATGAAGTCTCTAGCCACACAGCCACAAAGTGACATGAAACCCAACCTCTGGCTTTGCAAGATTCTGACGGTATGACTCATTTGACATAGTATATCATAGTATGCATGACCTTGCAAAATGGCCATCCTTTTGATTTGGTATTGCAATACATTTCGAGGATGCAAAATAAAAACTCGCTATCAAAACCACAGGAGCGAAGTTCAGGCCATTTCCCAGGAGAATCCTTGGCACTGTCTGATCGGTGAAATGAAAACCCTCAGGTAATCAAACGTGGCAATGGATAATTCACTATTTACAGTTGATCTTCAATCAAAACCTCTATTTGTAGGGGAATGTAAGGAATTGGGTGTGAAATAGTTTTAGGATTTTTTTTTTTCAGCAGGTTTGGGAATTTTTTTGGATTTCTTGGCTGGTACCATTTGCCTAGTGTTTGCAACGGTTTGGAACTTGAATTTGTCATTTTGCATGGTATTTGCCACATTTGGGCATGTTCACCTTCCATTTTGCATGGGATTTACTACATGTGGGCATGTTCACCTTCCATTTTGTATGGTATTTGCCACATTTTGGCATGTTCACCTTCCATTTTGCATAGGATTTCCTACATGTGGGCATGTTCACCTTCCATTTTGTATGGTATTTGCCACATTTTGGCATGTTCACCTTCCATTTTGCATGGGATGTTCTACATGTGAGCATGTTCACACAAATATGTACAGATGCGGAAGCTTGGGATTAGATAAAAAGCGGGTGGGGCGATTGAGGGAGGGCGCTAGCTATCTATCCAGCTAGCTAGCTATCTAGCTATCCAGCTAGCTATCTATCTAGCAAGCTAGCTATCTATCTAGCAAGCTATCTATCTACCTAGCTATCTATCTACCTATCTAGCTATCTAGCTAACTATCTATCTAGCTATCTAGCTTTCTAGCTTTCTATCTATCCAGCTATCTATCTATCTAGCCATCCAGCTGCCTATCCACCTATCTAGCTATCGAGCTATCTAGCTAACTATCTATCTAGCTATCTAGCTATCTAGCTTTCTATCTATCTAGCTATCTATCTATCTAGCCATCCAGCTGTCTATCCAGCTATCTAGCTATCGAGCTATCTATCTAGCTATCTATCTATCTAGCTAACTATCTACCTATCTATTTAGCTATCTATCTATCCTTCTATCTATCTATCTATCTATCTATCTAGCTATCTATCTAGCTACCTCTTTATCTATCTAGCTAGCTATCTATCTATCTAGCTATCTATCTAGCCATCTATCTATCTAGCTATCTATCTAGCCATCTATCTATCGAGGTATCTAGCTATCTATCTCTCTAGCTATCTATCTATCTAGCTGGCTATCTATCTATCTAGCTATCTATCTACCTAAGCTATCTATCTATCCTATCTATCTATCTATCTATCTATCTATTATCACATGTAATCCTGTCAGCTTTCCAGAGAAGGTTAGTTCGCAAAAACCAACTAATGTAACTTGGGTTTAGTTTAAATAAAAAAAAGCGGGAGGGGTGGATTGGGGGGAGGGCGCAGCGCCTCCCCCCAAAGCAGAATGCAAGCACCTCTTCTCACATGTTACGTTGCTAGTTTTCAAGAGAAGGTTGGTCATGTGATACTCAGGGATGTAAATACTGTGCAAAATGCATCTTACATGAAAATCAAGTATTTAAAGCAGGCAAAGCAAAAAAAAAAAGCAGAGAAGCAAAGAAACAGGAAACGCACAAAAGCAAAACAGCAGAAAGGCAAAGAAGCAGGAAAAGCAGAAAAGCAGAGAAGCAGGAAAAGCAGAGAAGCAAAGAAACAGGAAAAACAGAAAAGCAAAAAAGCAGAAAAGCAGAGAAGCAGAGAAGCAGGAGAAGCAGAAAAGCAAAAAAGCAGAAAACGGCGAGAAGCAGGAGAAGCAGAAAAGCAAAAAAGCAGAAAAGCAGAGAAGCAGGAAAAGCAGGAAAAGCAGGAAAAGCAGGAAAAGCAGGAAAAGCAGAGAAGCAGGAAAAGCAGGAAAAGCAGGAAAAGCAGAGAAGCAGGAATCCAAAAATAATTCCTAAACCTGATCAAAAAAAAAATCCTAAAATAATTAGCCCTCCTAAGGAATTTCCCAGCCAGCAATGTTTGATTATTGGAAGGTACAAATGAATCGTCAGCTGCTGTCCCTCACCATTGGAATCCCTTCAAAAGGTCCACCCAACCCACGTGAGCCATTAAAAAAATGGCCGGTAAATAAGTATCCCCTTAATAACGGGACAGTTCATAATCCCCAAAAATTAAACCAGGTAAGTCATTACGTTTAATGTAGCCCATCAACTGGGAATTTTCAGTGGCTCACATTAAGCAAGGTGGCAGCATCATGAACAGCAGGGTGTGGAACTGCGCGATGATGACCGCGGAAAAGTTCGCCCAAAAGGGTAAGATGCCCAAATCAGGTTCACCTCAGAATCGGCCCCGATGAAAAGCCGTCTGAAACACTCACTACTGGACCAATGGATGTGCAAATGAATGCATGCGCGCACACACACACACATATATATATATAAATATAGATACATACGGTAACTACATTCAAATATACGGATTTTAACATATACGAACACGTATTTTAGACTACACAGGAGTTCCTGTAGTTGTTAATTAACATTAAGCAAGTTAGCTTAATTAAGGATAAGCAAGCTTGCTTAAATTAAGCAAGGTTAATGTTGTTCAGTTATTTTTTTGGTTCAAGGTATCTGTTAATGTATTGGGTGCTTTTTGCTTGCAGATTCGTACTTGTCTTCATTACTTGTTTCCCTAAGACTTAAACAACATTTGTTTTTATACGACGGTATGATTCTCCTTCGAAGAGAGTGTCTTTTAAAAAACATCTTCTTGATGGAATATGTTTTTTTTTCTCTTTACTTTTTCTGTTACATCAAATTCACCTTGGATTTTTTTTCTAAGTATACATGTTCTTTTTGAAAAAAATACTTATATACAGAAAAAATATTTTAAAAAAAATCAACGATAAACAAACAAAGTCAAATTTTTAAATAAAACATGTTTAAAAAATGAAATATAACAAATATTGAAAATTTGAAAATTTTGTTTTTTTGACGTTTTTTATTTTCTTAAAAAAATATATATATATTTATTTAAAAAATAGAATTTTTTTAAGAAATGAAAAAAATAATAAAAAAGTATTTGAAAAAAATCAAATGTTGGAAAAAAAGAAAATTGTAAAAATGATTTTCATTTTTTAAGTGAAATCAAAATACATTTCTTTTGTAAAAAAAAACGTAGAGAAATCATAGCAGGAAAAAGAAACAAACAAAAGTAAAAATACATTACCAAAGTAGTTTCAAAATAGAGAAACTCTAAGCAAAAGAAGGGTATCAGAGGACACATTCACTGTCTCACCGTGGCCGTCTTGTTCAGCTGCTAGTGCCATTTGCTTGTTTTTTTTGGGAGGCTTGCTCCCTAACTTTAGGGGACAACATCATGCAAAATGAGGCTTGACGAAAAAAAAGGTGCTGATAAAAAACAAGATGCATCAATGTTAAGCGATGTAAAGAAAAAAAACCTTGCTTAAATTTAAGCTGGGTTGCTTAAATAAGATAACCTTGCTTAATTAACTAAACATCTCTTAACAAAAGTCGTTAATTAAAGAGTTTTAACTTAATTAACAAAGGTTTTCTGTTGATTAAGGTAAAAGTCGTTAATTAAAGAAGATAATAAGCAAGGTTAGCTTAAATAAGCCAGGTTTCGTTAATTAACAACCGCAGGAACTCCTGGGCACCTCCGGGAAGGTTTTTTTGGCCCGCCCAATTCATTTAAACATACGGTAACTACATTTAAATATACGAACTGGTATGTTATACTACCTCCTGAGCCTCACAGTCTGGCCCGCCCTCCACATATTGAAATGTCATGAAAGGTTGTTACCGTATATATCTATATACATATATATATATAAATATGTATATATATATATATCAATATGTAGATAGATAGATAGATAGATAGATAGATGGATAGATGGATAGATGGATAGATGGATAGATGGATAGATGGATAGATGGATAGATGGATAGATATATATATATATTAAAACATATGATTTTTCAGTTAATTAATTAATTATATTATATATATAGCGTGCAGTATACATGCACCCCACTATCATTATTGTTGCATGATGTTGTGGCTTACATCCCCGGCCATCAGTTATATAACTGTGTCATATCTCTGTGCCGGAAATCCGCCGGACTTCCGACGTGCTTCTGTTCTTGGCTTGCTTTATCTTGCTTTTTTCCTTTGTTTTCTTGCTCCGCGTTTTTGCTTCGTCTGAATCGTGTCCACACACAGTGTTAGTACTACTACTACTACCACCACCACCACCACTGCTGCTGCTGCTACTACTACTACTACCACCACCACTACTACTACTGCTACTACTACTACTACTACTACTACTGCCCACACCTTGCCTCTTCCCAAGTACTAAACCGGTAGTGCCGGTAGCAAGCGATAAACTGCCTACGGCACTACAGTCATCTACCGGTACTAGTCACAGGACGCACACGGAACTAAACTGATCGACCGGTACTCATTGGGTAGCAGTCAATGCGTTGTTAAAGTAACCACTTGCTAATTAGTAATTAGTCAAGTTGCTTCTGATCTACGGCTCTGTCTTTGTCTCTTCTTCTTCCTCTTCCTCTTCCTCTTCCTCTTCTTCTTCTTCTTCTTCTTCTGCTTCTTCTTGTTCTTCTTGTTCTTCTTCTTCTTCTTCTTGTTCTTCTTCTTCTTCTTCTTCTTCTTCTCTTATCTTCCGCTTCTCTCTCCGGCTTCCACCTAGCCTGCGCCTCATCCTTTCTTGGGGCAACCTCTCTCCGCCCCTTCCATGTAGTGATCTGCTGGCAAGCTGGAGGCTCATACATAGAATATACATAGTACCTGGCGCTACTTTGCTGGGGTCGGTACTAATTTGGTATACTGTCAAAAAGTTGTTACGGCAAGCATTTGCTACACAAGCTCCTTCCGCAGGCAATTGAATAAACAGTAGCTAGCTATCGCCAGCTCACCATAGGAGAACGCGAATCTCTGACGCAAGCGCCAACATTTGTCCTTGAGGGACATGTCGGATTTTGTCGAGATAAAGTCCTCATTTGGCAGCGCATGGCCCAGCCAGAGCTGAACTGGTCTGTCCCAGTTCGGGTTGATTTTTTGAGTGTCTGTTTGACTTTGACCAAAACTGAGATACCAATTCATTGCCTTTTTTATACCTTTGGAATGGGGAAACGATCAAACATTAGATTTGGGGGTAATTAATTACTCTATTTTCCCATAAGCCTTTGCAAGAGTCGAACAAGCAAAGATTTCCCAAACAAGGACGATTTTCAAGATCCCATCATAAATTGGCATCTAAGAATAAGTTGTCGGGTGAAACAGAAGCGCCTGATGGAAGAACGAAACAAACGGCTGAACTTTTAGTTTTTCGCCCTTACCCTTCATTCAATGGCCAGTGAGACAGGAAGAACTGGAATGCCAAGAAAAGGGCACCTTCAGACCGGATCTCAAATGTTTCCACATTTAAAGAAAACCCTCCGAAAGTACATTAAAGTGATGTAAACTCATGACTACCTTGGTTTCCGGGGAACTCTACAAAATCAAGCAGTTGAACAACACACGGCAACACACGGCAACACATGGCACCAGGGCCCAACAGGGCCCTTTCTATGCTGGCCAGCTTCTTCGCTTCTCACATGGGCAGCCCAGGTGGCTGAGGGGACCACCGCAGACATCGAAGCTTCATCGCTGCCCAGGCTAAACCGTAATTGTGCCCTGGCCATCATTTCGAATTCCTCCTGGGCGACGGAAGCCATTTGGACGAATGGTTCTCTACATGCATGCACATGCATATATGTATACATATTTTGACATAAATATACACATTTTAATGCAGTGAATATGCAAATGATCAAATGCGCACGCGTGTGTGTGTGTGTGTGTACCATCTGAACAGATGTAAAACTTCTTATTGGTTTTCACTACTTTGCAGGGGGACTGGAGCCGATTTGCCTATCCAGTCCAACGAAGCTATGGCATTTCGGTGGATGAGTGGTCTGATCAACCACTTGTACCTGCAAAACTCAGTTTGAACTGTTGACCAAGCTGTTACACTGCGTTGTTTCGACTCTACACGGTTGCCACAATCTGTATTGCATGCATCAGAACCTTCCTCAGATTTTCGCCGAAACCATATCGCCGACAGTATTATGATTTTTTGACATATTTTCGCCGAGATCATGTCGCCGACGAACTTTGGGTCTTTTTGGGAAACAATCGCCGAAACAATTTTTTGGATTTCAACATGCTGGTCAAAACTCTATGGAATCTGGTTAAGACTACGTTTGACAATATTGGATGCCCTACATCGTTTTCGAGACGTACCTCATGTGGCTCCTTTACTAATCTAACGATCTAGACTGGTTTGCATGTTTCAGGATTCAGTTCCTGCCGGATCATATAATGATCCTTTCTTGTCTAGTGTGTGCGCGTACATGTATCTCACAGCTATACCAGAAGAAACCTCCACAGTACCGAAAGTCTACCGTGATTGGTCCCTACCAATCAGAAATGGGATGAGCATAACCGACTTCAAGCATTTCATAACATGGCTAATCTGGAGAATCTTAGATACCCTGCATAGATAGATATGCTTAGATTGATATATACCCTCTGGTCAAACATAGTGTGCTGGAAACTCCCAAATTGTTCTAGGTGATTTCACAATATTTCACACTGAAACCTCCATATTTACAGTGTATTTCCCAGCCATGTTTGATTACTGGCTAGCCCCATTGCAACATATCTCTCGGCAGACCGGTCATATCCTCGGTCACTTGCCGTCGTTTGGGATGCACTTTGAAGTCCAGCCACTCCAACCTGGACATCCAAAGGGCCACACATGTTGAAAGCCGTGGGGCAGAAAGCCGTGAAAATCATGTATATAATACGTCTATAATATATATAATTATATGATTATATATATATATGTATACAGTACACCTAAAATTGGAAAAATTGATGAACACTGGGTATATTTAAGGAGATCATATGATGTTTCCAAGACTTGGCTTTGTTTCAACAAGGATGTATCATCTGTGAAACCATGACAATATCTTACCATCTACCCTGGGGCCCTGGGGGTTACCATCAACATGGGACGTTTCCTTCCGCCTGTCAGGTCTAGAATCTGAATTTTGATCAGGATTGGCTGGTCGATTTTATACATTGAACTTTACACCAAACTTGTGAAATTTCAAAGGTAACCTCCGGCCAATCCTAGTTGTTCTTTAATTTTCAACTTTATCATGACTTTTGAATGACATCATGGGTTCTCTTGATGATGATTCATTCAACTTGTTAAATGCCAAACAGAATGGATGAGCCTGATTTGTGAATGTTTGTAACGCCTACCCCGAGCCAACATTCTTCTTGTTAGGTTCATCCCGGTTTCCCCATAAAAATTGCCATTTTGGGGTTACATTTGCCTCTTGTACCTTACACCAGTCTCCCGCTGTTTGTGGTCCTCACTGGTTGTCCAAGTCGCAAATAGCTAATCAAATCTTCCACGACTTCAGCCAGAAATAACGCAAGAACTGCTAGACCCATGTTTTCCTAAGCCAGCGCGTTTCGGGCTTTTGGGATTTTATGTTGGTTTCCCTCAGGAATGTTTGGTGAGGTTGGATCATTTTGGATAGGTCATCAAAAATGAATGCTTGAAATTCCATTGGTCCTTGAGGGACGCTGCTATTGGATCAAGCTTCGACAGGTACTGGGTCTACCAACTGGCACTTGTCTGCGATGCAAAATGCCACCGGGCCCGATTTCATGAAATACTGGTTGGTGAAGAACGGTATCCCATGAATTTCGGGGCAGTTCGTACCCAATAGACCAAGTTCGACCAAGTAACGAGGTAAACCCAATAATAAACAACCCAACCCACAATTGTCTTATATACATATATAATTAAATTATATACACATAAATCTTTTTATTCACGCGTAGGCCGCTACTAATGGGATGAATTAGAAATGTTAGGAGACCCCATTTCCGCCGGCGGACCCAACGGTACCTGGAAATCAAACGTTTCAGAAAGGGGCCCGGGGGGTCACGGGAAAACCCCATTCGGAACCATGGATCATCAAATATACCCTTTGGTAAACTAACATAACTATGGAAAATCATCATTTTTAATGGATAAATCAACTATAAATGGCCATTTTCAATAGCTATGTTAAATTACCGAGGGTAATATAACCGGTTTCCAGTACTGTAAGTCTTCCAAACAAAAATTAATCCAACCTTCACTTTTGATTGGATTTGCTGTGGATGCTAACGGATGTGGCTTTTTTTTCTGTATGGAAGACTGGAAGAAAGTCACTGTCAGACCAGGGATGCCATCATTTCGGACAAACAGAAACAATACCAAAGACTGACCCAGATATTCCCAAACCTTAGCGGATCATCGCGGCTCAACCCGTCATAACCCGTTCAACCAGAACGGGATTCCCAGCCCATGTCTGAGCCGAGCTTCATGATCACACGGCAGCACAGGGTTTCGGGCACAAACGCGTGCCAACACGACGGCCAGCAGCACAAAGAATCGGGGATAACCCATGCCTCATGGTATTTTCCAGATCCCCCGGTCCCCGTAATGACAAGCCCAGATTTTGCTCAACGCCTGGGTTGCTTCATTGGGGCCATTTTCATAGGGGTGTGCAGCTTATCAATCCCGGGCTGGCAGTGCTGAAAGAAAGACTCACCTAGAGAGCCTAGTAAAATGTAAGTCATTTTGCAGGTTTGGGGGGTGGGATTTCTCATGGTGGTGATCTTACCTCATCAAATCTAGTAAACAGGGGTTTGTTCAATTGCATCTGAAGGACAAATCAACAAATACTATACACTGTAGATAGCGAGATGGAAAGAAAGAAAGAAAGAAAAGAGACAGAAAGACAGTACCTGACAAAATCACAGAAAAATAAACAAACGAGGCTAACCGAGTCCGCAACATATATCCTTAAAATACCGCATTTTATACATCCACAAATATCCACAATAAATACTGTTTCTTTAAATATCATCTTACAGATTATATGTCCACATATGTCAGCAATTTGCCCCCCGCCAAAAAAATTGTTGTTTCCAAGGCAATGTGTTCCACATCCTCAGCTATGCCCGGCTGCAGTACTTGACCTCCTGCAACAGCAGGCTACAGCGCGTGGGCGTGCGCCTTCCACAGGTCACAATGGCTAAGGCCCGGTCCAGCATGCCGGCGCGAACCTGGAAGCTGGGAGTCTGGGAGGCAGGGGATCCTCCTGGCTTCATGGCTCCACCAACATCCACCAACTAGTTCGATATATCATGATATATCTACCATCCAAGGCCGTTGATGTTCGTGTTGGGTTGGTTATGATTGGTTATGTATTTGAATCAAACCCTTGCAAACCCTAGCTAGCGCGACTCTTTTAGCTGGAGCTGCTAGAGCTGGAAGCAAACAGTGCTCGTGCGCTTTCAAGGGCTTTAAGTTGACCAACGGGGCAATTGTCTAGCGCGGATCGGATCGCCAGAACTACGTTTAGCCTAGCCGCTAAAACGGAAAAACCGTTGTTGTCACATTTATCTTCACAAGTCACGTTTGTGATGCTGGCCACAAAGAAGGTGAAGCGGCAATGCGGCTCAAAGAGATTTAGAAAAAGTATGAAAAAGTAAGGCTACTGTGGAGTTGCCCAAGCAGGACCAGGAACAACAGGCGCAAGAAAGCAAGAGGGAAAAAAAGCATCGGGCCTGACTATGTTTCACTTGAGTGGCTACGTAGAAGTGTCTAGCGCCACACTAGCACAAATCTAGCCCAAAGCTGCAGGAAAGCGATTTCACTGCATATATACAGGACTCCACCTTCTCGGCTTCTAAAATCTAAAATACACCACTGCCCTTCTGTATTTATGTCCTTTGGATTCAAAAGTTCCTTATAGGCATTTCAGAGCGGATATAATCTGGATTTTACCGACACGAAAGGTGACCCACCAAGAATGAGAGTTTATTAGGGCCTCCTTCGTGACCAGTAAGAACGAGTGTATTAGAGCTATTAGAGGCTTACTACTCAGCCTTTATTCCCGATGGCAAACGTAGAACAATTATATAGAACTGGTGTTTTTATGGCAGCTATATCGAACTAGTTCATGGGGTTTGATAAATCAACAATTGAATCAATTGTAACTCCAGGGGGATAATAACCGTCCATCGTTATGATTGATGACCCCTTTATAGATGGGATAAGCCACGAATCGGGGGTCCAAGGAGGTAATCCTCCAATATGGGAAGGGCGAGGGGGCGCAGTGCGCCGATCAAAATCGGGTGCCTCAAAATTGGATGGTTTAGCAAACACGAAGTAAAGAAACGGCAAAAAGGACCTAAACCTATGGAATTGATTGAATCACAGGTCGTAACTTCTGAGCCAAGTCGATATCCACATAGTGCTACTCAGAAAAATCTTTGGCTAATCTGCCAAAACCAAAAAAAACGCAGGCTCGATAGAATATTCCTCTATTTATGATCAAACATTTACGGCTCGGAGTTTATCTCGTAGCCTATGGAACCAGGATCAGGCAACATGTTTTTGAAAGCGGGACTGTAACAATCACCGGTGTTCCCATTTACAGTATATCTGGAAAAAGCAACCGCAAATGCTTGAAACAACGTATGACGTCCTCTCAAACACCCTCCGGGAATCAAACATGGCAAACACTCAAAAATGATAGGTTTGATAGCCATGTTTGGAAACCGAAGAGTACGTACGCAAAAGATCGCAAAAGCATGCAAAAGTAATTGTGCCACAGGCTGTCGCTGACTTGAAAGGGATGATGTAGGCTGATAATGGCTGGTAGGGTTTTAAGTTCATTCAATGGATTGATTTTCCTTGATTTGTCTCACTGGTGAAGCTTTGACATGGAACCCTAAACATGGTTGTGGCATTCGTAACCCGACCAGTTTTTTTCAACACGTTTCAACAATCTCTGGAGTGCCTCAACTACGATGCCAGCTCAAAGAGAAAAGATCAGAAATTCAGAAAAAGCATGCCCGTCACTGTCCGATCTCAGGAATGATCACCAATTAATTACCTTTTTCTTTTTCTGTCGGAGAGGGGAAAAACACCCGGAGCCCCTGTCAATCCCTGTCAGCTTTCCACGTCTCTAGCGTCTCCGTCACAAATCCTCCACCAGCCACGGCACAGCAATGTTCCACACCATTCCGCTGACAATCGGCACCAGAAATTCAAAGTTTTGATTCCCTTCATGCGACATGGCGGCCAAGATCAACGTCATTCGGGCACCCTCTGCCATGCAATGAACGAAGCAGATCTGTGTCGAAACCAAGATAGCCTGTTTGAGCTGGCCCGGTTGGGCCAGTTGAACAAGAAATGCAAACAATATTCCTCAACTGAAGATGGAAACAATGGAAACTCAAGAAAAATCTGGGAAAAACCTGGGCAAGTGGCTTGGTTGCTCATGAGGTACTTGCGCCTGACAGGCTTCTCTGTCACGAACTCAGCTAAGAAGGTGCGTTGAACTATCACCAGGTTGCCCAGTTCATAGCCGCTCAGCATAACAGGCATTAAGGTTCCCAGCCAGCTGCCAGCTGCAAAGCGCTTCCTTAGTTGTGGGATTTTTAGTCCTGGTGGTCCAACATCCTTCGGTGATCATTCTGTTGGGGGAGTTGTGCGGGTCCCCAAAAACATCCCAAGGTAATGCAAAACCACCGTGTACCAACTACGCACTTGCTCCCATTTCAAACATTCTGTCGTTTTCCACATCTTCTTTGAATGGGTATGGCCAAAACCCAAGTACCCTGGCTCTTGCCTCAAACTTGTTAGTATCGATGTTCATCCCTACACAACTGGCCCCACTTGGTCCTATAGGCTTTTGTGGCTTGCTGGAAACCCCCGTCTTCTCCCCATTCTTGTGAAGTTGGCGACATCTCATTATATAATGATAGTTTTGATGACTCTTCTGAGACTCTTCTTCAAGGTGTGACCGCAAGTTCTGGAAAATGTTTAGGTCCCGGCCAATATAGTCCCTTGGTGAAAAGTAGAGATGTCGGTTTGTTATACCATTTTGTTACACCAGCTGCTACACCATTTGCCTACTGGTTGCTCAATGATTGTTCACTGATTGTTCCATTTTTGGGTGACCCAAATTCGATAAAACCGTACGGAACCAAAAACACATCATAGGACATCTGTGATCATCCCAGCTTCAAGCAACTGTAGCCCGTAGTGCAGATGAAAAAACCCACGATCGCCGGACCCAACGTTGCAGGGCCCATCTTCTGCGCGTACCGCTCATCCAAGGGCGGCGGAAAAAAGTGTGGTGCAATGGTCTCGCTAATGGCAATCAGCAGCAAATGTCCCACACCATATGCCAGGATAAAACCACAATGCTGGTAGACAGGGCCCAGGTACCTGAGCACGACACGGCACCAATGTGAAACTAACTGCTGCACCATCATCATGATGATGCTGATGCTGATGCTGATGCTGATGCTGATGCTGATGCTGATGTCTGATGCTGATGCTGATGCTGATGATGCTGCTGCTGATGATGATGATGATCATCATCATCCTCCTCGTCATCGTCATCGTCATCGTCGTCGTCGTCGTCATCATCGTCGTCGTCATCATCGTCGTCGTCGTCGTCGCTGTCGTCGTCGTCGTCATCGTCGTCATCGTCGTAATCGTCATCGTCGTCACGAAAACAGTATGAACCATCTTTAGGTGAACTTTACCCCAAGGCAAAATTTGAGCAAACTGATCGTTTTGACATGTTTTGACCCCCCTGAGGGATATTCGTCAATTGGAATCAGCACCCCAGGTAGGATGGAACTTTTGGACCTTTGGACTCGCGTACCTGTGTTAGGCCTCAGAGTTAGGCGGCAGATGCATCCTAACTGTGAACCAAAACTGGACGTGGCTCGCAAAGTGATGAAAACCAGCAAACCTACGGAAAACGCAATGCACGGATGAACGGATGCAAAGGGACTAAGCACCAAGGCAGTGCAACCCTATGAATTGTCATGCACCAGCCAATGACGGAGTCGTGACCTTATAGCGTCTACTCATGTTACCACTGCGCATGGTAGTGGAGCCCTGCGCAGAATGGAAATAATCCCACAGAGTCTGGAGGACTCTCATGCCGCAACGAAATTTAGGTGCCCCCCGCAGACCATAGTGTTGCTGAGAGTACCCAAGCTTAACCAAAGATACACAACCCCTTCGAGGTCTTTCTGGGGCAGTTTCGCAATGATCTCTTAACCAAGCAAGTGTCTTGGTCCACACACGGCTTTGATCACGAAGTGAACACTGCATGACATCAGCAAGTGGACATAAATCAGGGAGCTTATAGGTGTGGGTACGCTTATCCATGAGACATGGGGCAATAGTTCCCGACCACAGGGTGAAGTCAATGTACACCTCCAAGAATGAAACGTCCGGTTGAGAGAAATCCCATTCCAGGTTATGGAAGTATCTACAAACCCGACTGGCAAATTGTGGCGTGTACCTGCATTTGTTGATGGCGTCCTCTGACACACAACAAGGAATTTGAACAGCCTGGGTGGCATCAAACGACAACTGGAAAACTGGCCCAACTGTTTCAACAACGTTGCCTTTGGAGCGAGCAGCTCGAATGGCTGCCTCATTCATTTCTGACCACATGACATGAAATTCCCTGAGCATGGCAATATCGTTGGATCTCTGTGCACACCTTAAGTTGATTTGCTTTACCAACCCTTTCCACGTTTTCTGAAGGCATCGGCGCGCAAGAGCATCAGCTTTGTCATTCATGAACGAAAGCCATCTGTAAAATGGATCAGAGATGGTTGAAATATCCAAGTGTGCCTTCACCTTTGTCACTTGGACCTCATCACCCGCACGATTGAGAACAAGATCCCAAACAATGCCCCAAAGATCCTCATGGTCAGTGAACTGTGGTTTTGAGCCCGATTGTTTGGCAGAGATGGCAGCAAGCAAGTTAGTCACCACTGCAGCGCAATCCGAGTAAACATGTACCCGTCGAAAATCACGCAAAGCCATGATAACAGCCCAGATTTCTCTTCTATAGGAAGTATGATCGTTGCCCGGGACCGGTTCCGCACGCGAGGAGAGGATTAGATAGTCCCTACAATGAACATAAGCAGCAGATGCAATGGTAAGCCCAGTTATGTTCTGACCTACTGCACTACCATCAGTGAAGACATGAGCCACATCGTCAGAACAAGCAACACTGCAAGTGACAACTGGTAACGTTGGATCACCATGAAACCGCCAATCAATCCAGGAAAAGTCCAAAGGAAGAAGCCCCCATGAACTGACCGCATCCTCCTGGTGTTCAAGCCATTGCATGAGTTTTGAGTGGGATTGTCGAAATTGCTCTGTCATAGCGCACTCCCAAACCCTGTGCTTTCTACCATCACGTTCACCGCAAAGAGGGCACTTGTCTGAGGCAGCACCTTTGGAGTAATGGACTAAAGCTTCATTGGTGACATGCTTACCAACAGCAAGATTCATGGCATGAGACCGAGCAATGTCATTCAGGGACCCAAGTGATGCATGAAAGGCCAAGACATCAACACCTTTACCTGGATGGAAAATAAATGAATATATATATAAATATATATATATGAAAACATGTGAAAATACAAAGAGACCTGAATTGGCAACCACCAAACTGTACAACTATGAGCCCAGATGCACAAGAAAGAAACTGGTCCAAAGCAGCAGAAAGACAATGCCAATGAAACAAGACCCTGCAAAGGCCCGCCTTGCAACGACAGGGCACACTTTAAGCACCTGCTATGGATTTGGGTTTGTTCAGAAAGGGGGGATACCTCAAAATTACACCTTGAATGTGGAAGCAATGACAAACCACATTTTTATCAAACAAATTCATATGTTCGGGTGAAATCATACTCACACTTTGGTTTGACCCCCAGTGCGAATCATCAGGACACGGCACCCCCACAAGATCAAACGTGTAACTCCTGTCACGCGTCTGCAGGCTTCCAAGTCAAGTGGTTCCCGGAGCTGGGTTATCTAACCAACCATCCCCATGATTCTCAATCATGTGAATCATGCATAATTCTTTTCTGCTTCAACCCTAATTTTGGATCATGTTTGGCCAGCCACCACCTCAACATTTTTTATTTTTTTCCACGGACATCATCAACCCATTAATTTGGAAACAAATCTAGCACTACTTAACATGTTTGACTGTTTGACTCTTACATCCTGATTCCTGCAGGTTATTTTGAATCTTAAGTCCTGATTTTGGAAATCTACATTGCAATCTTGAAGTTTCAATCTGGAAATTTTAATATTGTTTTTGAAGTTTCATGACGATTAAATTTCATTGTTTTGAGGTTAAATCATGATGTTTGAAGTCTATGAGTACCTTGCATTTTTACATGTTTTAAAGTTTAACTCATGATGTTTGAAGGATTTTGAAGGTTACATCACCATTACATGGTGAACTCCCCATGAATTTTCCTGGTTGAAAATCGCCATCGCCTGCCGTTGAGGCCCATCTCCTCGGCCATGTCTTTGCAGTTCTCGGGGCCCATGGCCGTCTTCCAGCAGACCAGGCTGGCGTTGGAAGGTTCGACGCCCCACAGGCAGAAACCGCGAAGGTTGCCGACGCCCACCTGGAGATGTCTGGTGTTTATAGATGTTTTCCAAGATTGTGATTGGATTACACTTTGGTATACCAACAGAGCTATGGAAAATCACCGTTTTAACAGGCAAATTCCCTATAAATATTCAGCAGAACTAAGTCGTGGGTCGACATGCAAGTGGTTTAGATTCGTAATGGTTTTTTCAAGAGGAAAAAAAAGGAAATGAAAAAAATGTGGAAAATAAATGATGGGAAAAATAAATGAAAAGAAATGAAAATAAATAACAAATTAAAAGGCACCAGGAAATGAAATAAACCATGAATGTAAACAATAAAACACACAATGAATGATAAAATATGTGAACATTGGAGGCCACCATATTCCAAACATGAATTGGGTAGCGGTGATTGAATAGAAACCTCTAGGGAAAATAGCAAAACCGCTCCAGACCGTTCAACATGAACCATAAAAATGTGAAACAACATGAACCATAAACATGTGAAAACATGTCACTACAGATCACTACAGCATGATTTCTGGGAACCATTTTCCAAACATGAATTGCCTAGCGGTGATTGGGTACAAATTGCAAAACGGTGACTTTTTTGTCGTTTTTCTTTTTTTCCCCACCTGCCAGGTGAGGGTTGTTAGATTTTATCTAAGTTGCCTGGTCCTCCTCCTCCTGCCTCCTCCTCCTGCCTCCTCCTCCTCCTCTCCTCCTCCTCTCGTTGTCCTCCTCGTCCTCCTGCTCAACTGCGACTCGCGATCCACAGTGTTCGCTGTCGGACCTCAACCACGACCATCCACGCCCAGTGTTCCCTGCCGGACCTCAACCACGACCATCCACGTCCAGTGTTCCCTGCCGGACCTCAACCACGACCATCCACGCCCAGTGTTCCCTGCCGGACCTCAACCACGACCATCCACGCCAAGTGTTCCCTGCCGGACCTCATGTAGGAAGATATGGGACAAAGAATGTGCAGAAGAAAGTTAGAAAGAATGTCAGAAAGAATGTCAGAAGATATGCCAGAAGATATGCCAGATAGAATGCCAGATAATATGCCATAAGATATGCCAGATAGAATGCCAGATAGAATGCCAGAAGATTTGCCAGATAGAATGCCAGAAAATATGCCAGAAGATATGCCAGATAGATATGCCAGAAGATATGCCAGAAGATATGCCCAGAAGATATGCCAGAAGATATGCCAGAAGATATGCCAGAAGATATGTCAGAATATATGCCAGAAGATATGTCAGATAGAATGCCAGAAGATATGCCAGAATATATGCCAGATAGAATGCCAGATTGAATGCCAGAAGATATGTCAGATAGAATGCCAGAAGATATGCCAGATAGAATGCCAGAAGATTTGCCAGATAGAATGCCAGAAGATATGCCAGAAGATATGCCAGATATGCCAGAAGATATGCCAGATAGAATGCCAAATAGAATGTCAGAAGATATGTCAGATAGAATGCCAGAAGATATAAATGTCATGGTGGGGATCACACGAAGTAAAGTAATTTTATTTTGGGTTTCGCGCCAGTGGGATAACCTGCATTTGGTTTTCAATTGAGAAAATATTTCTTGAGGTCCGTTCTCTTTTTTTTCTGTTCTTTCTCTTTTTTCCCCACCTGCCAGGTGAGGGTTGTTAGATTTTATCAGCGCTGTTCTCCTCCTCCTCCTCCTCCGCCTCCTCCGCCTCCACCTCCGCCTCCTCACCCGCCGCCTCCTCCTCGCAGTCCAGATCCCAGTGGGCACAGCCGGACCTCCACCGCGAGTTGCAGATCGCAGTGGGCACTGCCGGACCTCAACCGCGAGTTGCAGGTCGCAGTGGGCACTGCCGGACCTCAACCGCGACTTCCAGGTCGCAGTGGGCACTGCCGGACCTCAACCGCGAGCTCCAGATCCCAGTGGGCACTGCCGGACCTCAACCGCGAGCTCCATATCCCAGTGGGCACTGCCGGACCTCAACCGCGACTTCCAGATCGCAGTGGGCACTGCCGGACCTCAACCGCGACTTCCAGATCGCAGTGGGCACTGCCGAACCTCAACGGGAAGAATGTCAGAAAAGATGTCAGATAGAATGTCAGAAGATATGCCAGATAGAATGCCAGAATGAATGTCAGAAAGAATGTCAGAAGATATGCCAGACAGAGTGTCAGAAGATATGCCAGAAAGAATGTCAGAAGATATGCCAGATAGAATGTCAGAAGATATGCCAGATAAAATGCCATGAGATATGCCAGATAGAATGCCAGAGGGTATGCCAGATAGAATGCCAGAAGATATACCAGATAGAATGCCAGAAGATATGCCAGATAGAATGCCAGAAGGTATGCCAAATAGAATGCCAGATAAAATGCCAGATAGAATGCCAGAAGATTTGCCAGTAAGAAAATGTATAAATGTCATGGTGGGGATCACACGAAGTAAAGTAATTTCTTTTGTTTGCTCTTTTATGACGGAAAAATGTCAAAAATGAAAAATAATGAGAAAAATGTGTGTGTGTGTTTAAGGAAATCATATACGTGCTGCAAGGGGGTTCCTGGTGCGATGTGCTGCGGAAAAATCTACGATTCTTTGCGCTTTGGTGGCATTTTGGATCCCAAAGTCTTGTGTGGTCACTTGTTGTGCGCTTTCATTTCCATTTCAGCGCTCACCCATGTCGTCTTCAGCCACTGGTCCTTTGGCCCGCACGGCCAAGCGTCATCGAGAGGTCAACCCAATGATGGCAGGAATGAATCCTTTCTTGTGTCCATCTTTGGTCCGGCCTTTTCATTGCTTGTCCCTACCCGTGCTGAATCGTGCTGACTTTGTTTTGATGGATCGATGAGGTACATTGCTACACGTGACCAAAAACGACATTGGTTCCTGATGTGCCTTTTTTGTCAATTGTGGTCAGACGTTTGGCACCGCGTGGCCAGCGTTGTCAAAACAAAATCAGTTTTGATAGGCTTCAGCCTGAACAGATTAAACAGGATTAAGTAAAATCATTTGAATTCTATGTGTTTTTTTAAGTATATTTATTGATTTTTATGTCTTTGGTTTTCTTTTTAGTTCTTTTTATTTTTCTTTTCTGGCGGAAAAGTTTTTCATGATTCAAAATGTGTTTTTTTTTGATTTTTGGACCATCCAAACCATGTTGTAACTAACCTACTGCAACCTGCACCACCACTTAGTCTTGCTGAAATATGCGATGTCCATGGCTATGTTACATTTCCGGAGGGTATATTATAAACATATATAACCGAAATGATGTTGGAAATAACCAACATGCCGGAAATCCACGTCTGAATCTCATCAAATCACAAGATGTTTTCATCGTTAGGCATGCGGACAAAAATCATGGAACCTGTCCTCTCAAAATAATAATTTGCGTATATTTATGGATGACTATGGATGTTGATTCCCCAAATATGGTATTTTAGGTTTTGACCTACCCCCATTTGACTGGTGCATCTAGATGTGAATGATGAAGTTTGGAAAGGTTTGTTCCCCAAAAAAAATATGAGGAGAGACATGGATTACGTAAAAAGTCAGCAGCACCTGCAAGAGGAGTTTTCCGGGATGTAAAATTATGTCTGTGTGTGTGCGTGTTATTGATATATATATATATGTAATATATATATATATATTTTTCATTCATTCATTTATTTAAATATATATATATAGTTATGTGTGTATACCGTAAAATATAGCCTAATACAGATACATAATACAGTTATATACTATATATAATTGTCTGATATGTGCTTGTGTGCCTTTATATATTACTTTAACCTGCCAAAACAAAGAGGACCATGACCAGAATTTGAAAATGTGTCGGGTAGAGGAAACTGAAAAAAATGACCAGTATTTCCACATCGTAATGTTGATTCTGACCCGGCTGTTGTCATCTTCAAAAAATGTTTTCACTTTTGAATTGTAAATTTTAAAAAAAGACTTACTGTACCTGTAATTTGCTTAAAAAAGGCAATTAACAGGTGGTGTCATTTAAAAAAACTGCTTGCAAAGTCATACAATGTAAGATCTTTTATTTGAAAAAAATAAAGCTAGTTTCCCTTAAACTTAAACAATGTCTTACCCGACATGGGAAATCGACCAACCCCCATCTGACATTTTTAGGGATGTGAAAGCTGCAATTGGAAAAGCCAATGGAATACCATCGGCCGGGAATGTAGAAACGATCCAATGGCATTCCATAAAATGTAAGTCGAAAGCCTGACTTCCATTTTATAAGAACTACAAATCAATAAACATAAACATAAACTGATGGTTTCCTTTTTTAGACCCTGTTGGTGCCATCATTTGCCATTTTACAAGCTCACTTTTTATGAAAAACTGGGTGGTCTCTATAGTAGTCCTATACGTGCCTATAGTACTACACTGGTCTATATAGGGGAATTGGCAATTTACAAGCAAAATCCCTTTTGGCATCCTGATTTGAAAAAATCGTAGCCCTCATGAAATGACCCAAATCCAGTGGGCCAGGTTGATAGATTTCACCTCCCTGTAGCTGGGGGATTTTCTGTGTGATTTTGACTTGATACCCTGCGTGGACAAGGCCTATCCCGTATTCAAAGTATGGACTTCCATAGTCTCGAAGCCATGCGTGTGACATGTGTGTATAATATATACAATATATGATAAATTATATAATACATATAACACAATATATATATATATACGTTATATGTGAGATCGTGCGTGTGCCTGTGTTAGGATCATCCTCCCGTTTTTGGGGAACAAAAAACATGTCTAAAAAAATCTGAAATAACTCAGCCACCAACTGCACCGGAATAAAGTAGAGCGCGACCCAACCTTGCAAGGCGTTGCAAGGCGGCCAGCGAATGTTGAAAGGCGGCGAGAAATGGGATTGGGGTTGATTTTACCATCAAGCCTTGCCCAATATACCGGACAGCCCCTCCATTCGCGACAAAAAAAACTAAACTCAGCTAAACCAAGCTACACAACCAAAGTCGACCCAGCCTGACCACATCAAATAATTTGATTGAAAGATTTGGAGAAAGATCAAACCATCTCTACCTCTCGCCTCGCTGTTTCAGGGTTTTGAACCATCAAGATCCCTCTGGAGAAGCCGCGCAGAGCTGAAAGGACAAAAAACATGAGAAGACTTGCATGTTGCAATGTTGCAAGTACAAGTAGGATCAAGTAGGTATACATTTAAAATTTATATTATTTAAAAACATCACAGTATAGAGTTAATAGACTATAGAGATTACTATAATGGTTTTACATGGTCATACCGTACCCGTCATATCCATACAAATCACCCGTTAAGTGCACCCCCGACTAGCAAACCAAGGGCAGCCAGGTCGCCTATCATACGGAACAGGAGCACAAACCACCAATCCTTTCGCACGCCTTGCAGGGGGATGATCTGGGACCAAACGTGGCTGGAAAATCCTCTTTTTGGAAGTGTTGATGCGAAAAAGATCTATATATATATATATACATATACAAATTCGGGATTTCCCGTTGCCTGCTTTTACCGGAGGGCCACGATCATTTCTAACCTCTAGTAATCTAACATGGACATGGCCATGGAAAATCACACCTTTCTAGCGGCCCGTGGCATGAAATGAGTTCCCAAGCATCAAGGTTTTCAACCCAATGCGTGTTGATGAAGATTCTGACTTAAATAGGAAAAACTACACACAATCATACGTTACATATCAATGTCACATATCTATCTATACATGAACTAGTGAGCATGAAAGAAATCGCTATTAAGTGGATGTTCATCCGTTCATCATGTTCATTCCCCTAAAACTCTAAAAAACTGTATTTATGGGATTAGTGAGTTGGGATTATTATTCCCAATATATGGGAAAATAAAAATGTTCCAAACCACCAATCAGTTATGTATTCGAAAAAATGGAGGTGTCCTAAAATGGTTCCCGCATAGATTCAAGCGATGCCCCGATGCCTGGCAGGGATGCTTCAGAGATGCTGAATGCTATCAGCCCAGCCTGGGGTTGACGCAAGGGAATCCACAAGGGCGACCGGCGAAGGCGACGTTTCACAGGAAAGGATGTCTTTTTTTTAAGGTGGATTTAATTTAACGTATTTAAATATGTTGTTTCCTATTCAAATGGTTTCTTTTAATTAAATTGGCTTTCGAATGCTTCCGCAAACAATTCTCCTGAAAGCCATAATGGGAAAGGACCGGACTGATCAAAGGCGAGTGATGCCGCATAAGCCTTGGTAAAACATCAAAGCCTTTTTAAAAACAAAAACTATGTGCAATATGCCATTCTGAAGTTCTTGGATGGGATTGACTTTGGATTTTAGTGAGCAAAAAAAGTCATCAGCGGTGGTGGTAGGGGTATGTCCCACGTTCATTCACCAAAATCCATCAATTTGGGATCAGAATTGGATGCGCTAACGACAACGGGAAAATCGGGATCTTTGACCAGGAAAGGGGCGGTGAATGGCCGGAGGCCATATCTTGAGCCCCTCAGTTGCAAACATATGATATATATATATATACTGTGTATATATATATATATATGTGTGTGTGTGTGTGACACATCTGTATAGATGCAAAACTTCTTAGGTTTAGAGAGGATCGTGGATCTACTTATTGCTCATTTTCATGCAGGGGGCGACAGGGTCGCTGCATGGCTGTCGCCAACGAAGCTCCATGCAGTTGACTAGGATATGGAGTCTGATCAACTCCACGTACCTGCCTTTTTTCCGACATAGCACGGGGCCAAGCTCAGAACCCCAAACACAATGATTTTATTTCTTCACGGTTGCCACAATCTGTATTTTCGCCGAAACCATGTCGCCGATGTATTTTAATTATTTTGTCGAAACCATGTCGCCGATGTATTCTTTGATTATTCTGGAAAACCATCGCCGAAACCTTGTTCACCACTGACATTATTCTTTGTATTGTCAACATGCTGGTCTTATCAAACTTTGTGGAATCTGGTTTGAACTCCGTTTGACAACATTGGATGCTCTACATCGTTTTCGAGAAGTACTACAAGGGGCTCTACTGTAAATCTAACGGTCTAGGCTGGTTTGCACGTTTCAGGGCTCAGTTCCTGCCGGATCACTATAATGTTCCTTTCTTGTCTAGTGTGTGGCTATAACTACTATAACATACATTAACATACTACTACAACATAATGTAGTCAATTGTTAACAAAATAATGCTACCGCAAGGATGGACGATAACGAGATTTCGAAAATAACCAGCGAAGTTTGATCCCAACTGCCATAGAAGTAAAAAGAAACCTTCCATCATCTCACTTGAAAGAGGCTGCTATATCCTATCATGGGGCCATAACTTCTCATGGCCAAGCGGGGTCTTGCTCATCCTCAAAGAAGTCTCTCAAATGTCAGCATGGCACCAACAAACTTCTGAAGTTTAAAGTGAAATGCTGGAGATGCTGCGGTTTGGAGATGCCGCAATGTCCCTTGTAAGCGATGATCCAATGGAATCCAATGATCCCACCAATCCAAAATCCACCCCCAACGGATCAAGGCACGGCCTCTCTACTTAGGCCATTCCCATCGCAGCAGCCGAGTGGCGAACAGGAACATGCTCCCAATGGAGGATGCCAGAAATGTATCTCTATAAGTTGGCAAGGACAGCTCCAGCTTGGCAGGAACCTGGAAACGGGCTGTCACCACCACTGGCCACGGCAAATTCATTGGGATTGATCATCCCAAATAGGAATGGAACTCCGAAAGAAGTGAAGTGGCTGAAACGCTTAACCTCAAACGCCTTCCCGAAAAATTAATTCCACTTCATTTGAATGGGATCTGGTGGAAGAACAAGATTTCTCCATTTCATGGCCAGAAATCACGGATAAATCAACATGTCCCGGCATCATATTATCAACATATATCCGATATATCAACCATCAGCAAACTTCGCCCAGCTCATCCGGCTTGTCCTCCCAAAAACGGACAAAAGCATACAAAAGTCATCAAAAGTCAACGTCCTCAATGTCATCCCCACCTCTTCCGCAAGCACTGCCGGTTTCTCCGCCGGCGGCGCGGGCGACACGGACGGATCGCCCGCAGGCTGCGCAGGGGCTGGCGAGGCCGGTGACACGGGTGCAGACATGGCTCATGAGGTGCGCTTGAGAACGCACCCGGCGTGCGCTGCTGAAAACACGTGGGCTGGCAAGGGTATGGATGTCTTTGGCTTGGCGTGGAATTTGAACATTTTGATGTGGAGTGTCGGAGTGATTATTGAAAATCTCTCGGACATGGGAATATAAAGGCTGCCAGCCAACTTGCAGTTGGTATAGAAAGAGCGGCTGCAAATGCGAGCAGTCAATTTGACCACTGAAAGTTTGTCAAGAGAAGGTCTGATGGCATCCTATGGCTTTCAATATCCACTACAGTGACACAATGGTGGCCCTTCGGAGGGTGCACTCGCTCCCTTGAGCCAGCTGCCGTGGCCACTAACCAACTCTAAGGCATGTTTAGCTTTGACGAGATACGAGACACCATAGAAATGCTAGATTAATTAGAATGTCCCATTATTTTTCTCAAGAGGAAGCTCCAAACACAAATGCACATTACCCTCTGGTAAAATCTCCCATGTATAGTTATTCCCATTAAAACATATTAAAACATATTAAAACATATTAAAACATATTAAAACATATTAAAACATCTACAATTGCCACGCAGAAAATGGCCGAAGGTGGTGGATTTGCCAGGAGTTTCTGCACTCGAATCAACCCCCTGGATTTCCCGGGCCTGGCCACGATGGCAAACTGTTTGGCACTTTGGCACTCGATGGCAGGCAGTTGGTGGATGTGGCAGTTAACGTTCAAACATGGCCTGCAAAAAGAATGGAACTGAAAAATCAAATCCAAAATCTACAACTTTTAAGTGTGGCACCTACGCTGCGTATGAGTGGGAATCTGCGGCGGCCAAAGCAATATGATCAAGAGCTCATCAAAACTGACCCTTGCAGCCTGGGAAGACCGGCCAAAAAGAGTATCATGTATGCATGTACACACATACGATTGTATATGTGTGCATATATGCTTGTCCCGAGGTAGAAAGAATATGTCTGCTTTGAAACCTATTCCGCCTACTCCCATTTTAGTGAGACTTTTTGAAATTTCCACATTCTATCTCCAGGATGACAGTGACTATAGACACATGTCCATGCTGGCAGGGAAATTTTTGGGAAACTGGAGGTATAAAATGGGAAAATCATCGACTTTTTTAGTGCTGTGTTTTCCAGCCATGTTGGAGAACAGTTGATCAGCAGCTGCATCAATCATCATTCACCACCATTAAGCATCATTAACCATATAATAACCACTGGATCACCATTCACCATCGGGCATCGTCATTAACCACTCATTAATCATCATTAATCACCATTAATATACCATTAATATACCATTAATATACCATTAATATACCATTCATCATCATTTCTTCAAGCCATATTTTCGGGCCCTCCTTAAATTCTTCTCCCACGTTGTTTTTGAGGCTCTGGCCCTTGGATTTGAGATGCGCCTGTGGGTCCATCTTCTGCTTCAGGTCCTGTGAAAAGCGATGCCCTTTGTGACGTCCCAGGGCCAAGCAGGGCCAAGAAACAACAGCACCATGGATATAGTACTATCATTATTTGGATATATAGTATTATTCCATACTATTGGATATATACTATATAATAATTAGATTCTATTGGATATATAGTATTATTATTATTCCATACTATTGCTACTTAATGATATAGTACTATCATTATTTGGTTTATTGTACCATTACTATTGGTTTTGAAATGGTAGTAATAATGATATGGATGCCATTCTTAATTATTGTTACTATGTTCTTATTACTTTGAGCAGGTTGATGATGGTGATGGTGATGATGATGATGATCATCATCATCAGGAGGAGGACAGGGGCTTCCATCTCTACAATTGTCAACAACAGATCCTGGCTTTTGTGAGTCTCACTGGCAAGTGGAGAAACGCCCAGGATGCTAGCTGCGGCTCAGGATTCTCTTAGAATCTCATGACAAAAGAAATCATCCCAAAAGCTTCCAAGAGTCAGGTCCTTGTGCTTGAGCAGAATATGCCTTACCCGCACCTGCAGTTTTCAAAAGAATTGAACCCCTGGTTATACCACAATTCCACGATTTTGGCGGGAAATCATCATATACCAGGGCTTCAAGCATCGGATCTTATTCTCCTCCTGCATGTTTATATCCAGTAGGTATGCTTACATCCCCTTCGAATGTCTCTTCTGATACACGATATTGACTGGCCACCTAGGGAGGGGAGCGACCTGGGATCATCATTCCACCAGCTAGTTGGAATTGTTCCGGCTCAAAATCCCAGGCCAAACAATGAAGGAATGGCAGGCATGGAAAATGTAACAATGTCAAACAATCACTGGCCACCAACCACATATATCACATATATAGGTTGGTTTTCTGGTGGTTAAATTGATTAAATCGTCACCAAGCTGCTTGAACCCCCAATCCGAAAGTCAAAAATAAACATAACCTGATCACATACTGAGCCATCTGAGCGATGAAAATACCACTCCCCCTATCCCACAGACTGATAGTACTGAGGGTCAAGTCGAATCTCTATCAATCTCCAGAGAACATAAGAATTCTTAATTATTCTTAATTCACCCCATGGTTTTATCAAAATTATTCCTTACTAAACCCAGTTTTTTGGGGATTGCACCCAGCCAACTGTTTCCAACATGTCCAATTTGGTCGGGGAAACCCATGTTGATGCTGAAATCCCAGAATTTTAATGGACATGAGGTATACCATGATATACCCATGATCATTTAGCTGCCATATGTTCATTGGAAAATGACCCCCAGTCATCGGCAAAATTGGGGGTAGCCTTAGGGCCTACCTTGATGAGGACTCCACCACTCCACCACAGGTCACGCAGGGGCAATGATCATCCCACAGCCAAGTATGATCCCCATTCTACCCCCATGACATCATGAATGTCCCAATGAATATGTCCATTAACATACCCCCGCTGTAGAATGAGATGCTATATTCATGGAATATCCAGTGGCATCTCCAGAAGTTATTAAATATCCGCGGATATTCCATTCATATCCCGTTATATCATGTTATATAACATGACTTGGTGCTCAAGGTTCCACTGCCAAAAAGGCTTTCACAGAACCATCTGGCATACTTCAATCTTTTCCCCATATCCCATTGGGCCAATGAACCTATGCTATTCTATGCTTCTAAGTTATACTTTCTTCATAAGCCCTGGCCTAACCCATGGATCCCATGGATCCCATGGCCGCCTTGTCACTGCCCTCCTTCTTGGCCTTCTTCGCAGCTGGCTCCACGTAGCCGGGTCCCACCTGCACTTGCGGATCTCGGCAGCCGGTGGGACAATCCAAATCCATGGAGAATGGTGGATGGTTACCATCCAAAGTGATGGTTAATGGTTAATATCGCCAATTAATGGCTAGTATCTCCTGTTTGGTTAATGGGATCCAGGGTGGATGGTTAATATTTATCTCCAATTAGTGATACATGCTACCAAGAAAAGTCCAATTGTTTATGGTGGTTGATGGTGATTAATATGCTGATTGTAATGGTGATTATACATAATTCTGATGAATGGTGATGAAAACGATGGTTACCCTCCGGTAGTCAGTTCCATGGCTGGAAAATCACCGATTTTTTGCCACAAAAAGTTCCATCAACAAATGGGATTTTCCAGCTAGCCATGTTTGATTAGCGGAGGGTATCTGAGATGTAGTGGGAAATATATAATTATATATAGATATATTAAAAGATTTAATCTGTGGATAAGATGGAGACTGCCCTTTTATATGGGGCATATTTTTTGCCGCTAATCGTGGAAGTGTATGCCGAATGGGATCTGCGGCATGATAATCACTGGGATTTCATAGGGAGATTATCCAGCTTGAAGCGGTGAGTTGAACCCGACACGTTGTGCTTAGTAAACTGAGGTGGGATGATCAGACCAGAGACAGCTCCGCCAACTCCAAAACAGTTGTGTTTATAATAAATAGAACACATCCATAGCGGTTCATCTATGTATATATAATCTAGAATCTATATGTACTGATCATTTATATTATATTTTTATAATATATTTTTCATTATTTGTCCCGTTTTCCTGCCATTCTTAAAGAACATCTCACTTTCGCGACACAAAATCGCCAACCTCCCATGGATCCATGGCGTATCTTTCGCGACGCCATGGCGGCCTCAAAAACACCGACGATGCAGCAGCCGAAACGCTGAGGTCCTTTGGCCTTCAGCCTCAGCGGGATGGATCCACCTGTTGGGATGGAAGGCCACCAGGCCCACCAGGCCCACCAGGTCCGGGCCTTTTTGGTCAGGGCACGAAATGACGAGATCCAGTACGAAATGACGGGTTTTTTTCAACTGGAATGGATTGGTGATTGGTACTTCATGCATAATGTAATATAATTTATATAATGGAATATGGGTGGAATTGATTTGTACTATATAATGTATCTAATGTTACGGGTCATGATTCTTGAGGTTCTCTGAGATGTTGCTTCAACCCATTAAAGACAAACGGAGGGACGAACCAGGAACCCCAAAAGAAAGGGAACAACCGATTCACCAACACTCCGCATCAACAAAACAAGCAAACGCCTTTTCTGGAAGGCGCTTGAGCCACGAACGTCGGAGACGTGTAAATGACCCACCCAGGTTATTGTTAGGATGGAATTACACTCTACTCTAATTAGTGGCTACCCTACCTATGTAACGCTTCTACATAGGTAGTGCTATGGCTGTACATATCGGGGATATCTACTTTGGGTACGATGGACTCATAGCTAAGGCATACCTCTACTAGACCTACCTGCACATGCTATACATGGTGGGGCTCAGGGGTCGATATATTTCAACTCCCCCCTCGCCTGTTCCACACGCACTGCGCATTGGCAGGCACCTAAGCAACTACTGTCGCGTGAACGGATGTTCACAGCGACCTATGCTTTGGATTTAAGGTCTAAGGGGAGGTCAGTACGTATTCCTAGAAGGATTAGTGCTGCTGCCCACTTGTGTGGAGGCAATGCCTTGGTGAATATG